TTGCCTGAGAGTGGCTAATTCGCAGACGGCGCCGTTTGGGAATGCTTGAGAGTGGCCAATTCGCAGACGACGCTGGCGCGACTCGTGAAGTGACCAGGGGTGGGAGAGGGGGTGTCGGGGCCGGTGACGGTCGTTGTCGCAAACAATGAAAAGTGGGTTTTGATTCCCCCACCATTCGAAGAAATTCCAGCCTTGCTGGTGTCTAGACCCATTCGAGCGACGAACGGATCTTTGATCAGGCCTTACCCGTTGCTCGACAGGCGCAATAGTTTGTTTTGTTTTGTCGGAGTTCAGCATTCGGCCACGGAGTGACATCAGACGCCAGAATCGACGGCTTGCGAGCGTGGTCTGATCTGCCAGGAAGGAGGAGGAGGAGGAGGAGGAGTAGCAGCTAGAAGAGGAGGACCAGGAGAAAGGGAGGCGGAGGAGATCGAGGATGACGACAACTACGAGAGGATGGACGGGTTTGGTAAATGAGACTACGCAGATTTCGCAGCTGCGTGTGCAGCACTCCTTCCTGAACGCACTGCTGCACAGATCGCACGCCCTGTGAGTCCTCCCAGGGGGTAGAAATTAAGCGGCTCGTTGAAAGCAGGTAAACGTGTGTCCGTCGAGCCCCAGATCCCGCTACATCTTGAGCGCCTCTTCTTCAACAGTCGAAGCGGGCTTCCGTCTGTCTTGCCTGTGGGATGGCGGGCAATCACCGAGCTTTTTCTGCTCGGCTTTCTATGTCATGATTCCACCTTTTGTTTGCCAACGGCCTGCACGTGTTTCTCCGCCCTCCCGAGCAGAAGTACAGTGGATACCCATGCTTGGGCTTCTATGGTTCTGCTGTGGAAAGCGTGACGCTCCCACACCAAAAATCAATGGACGTCCTGGGGTCTCAGGGTTGGCTTCTTGTGGAAGGCTTCTTGTGGTCGGGCCCCTACTGTAGACGGGGCTGGATGGAAGCATGGTGTGAGAGGCGCCTGCAGGCTGCATCCCCTGTGCGCGGCTGCTCTGCGCGGGCGCTGCCCGCCCAAAGCCGGTGGCGCCCCCACTCTCGAGTGCCCGCGGCCCTCCTCGAGTGTTGTCAGAGGAGGTAGTCTGAAGTCGAGGAATATTCAAAAAACAGTTATAAGAACATGTCTCGGGACGAATTTTCATTTTTCGTGTCGTTTTGTACGCATGTTTTGACTATTTTGTAGTTTGCATCCGAAATCCGCCTGTAGGAGGACACGCCCGACCCAAAGGTAGTCCTGGCCCAAGGTGACCGCAGCTATTGCGAGGGCCTTACGGCCAGTGCCGCCGACCCTAAAGGGGACGACGACGACGACAATGGCGGCGGCGGCGACGACGATGCTGACGTGGGCCAGAGTCCTCAGGGATGCTTCTTGGGTCGCTTCGCAAGGATCTCGGGAGCCTCTGGAGAGGAATTTCGGGTCCTCTTGGGAGCCTATTGGGGGCATCTTGAGAGCCTCTTGGGGACCTCCTCGGGCTTCCTGGAGACCTCTTGTGGGCCTCTTGAGGCCTCCTGTGAGCCTCTCGGGGCCCAAGGATCGAAATGTTCGTTCGGCCCCCCCCGTCTGGGCACGCTCTTGGAGCCGTTTTGGTGGCCTCTTGGGCCGTCTTGGAAGCGTTTTGTGCCGGCTTGGGGTCCTCTTGGGCCGTTTCGGTGTGATTGGGGGGGTCTCTTAGGCCGTCTAGGAGCGGCGGGAAGAGGAAAAGGCGAGAACGCAAAATTCCTTGAACAAACACACAAGGCACATCAATTAATTGTGCCTCTTTGGGCCCTCTCGGGAGTGCTCTTGGAGGCTTCTCGGGGCGTCTGGAAGGCCTTTTGGGCAGTCTGACGGACGCGAAGGCGTTATGGACCGAGCGTTTTTGCGATTGGGTGCCCACCTGGACCGTCTCGGGGGCCTCTTCGGGCACTCGTGGCCTGTCTTGGTACATGCTGAGGCGCCGGGACCCCCAGGGGTGACTGCGTATCTGAACCCCCCGCCCTACCCCTCTGAAGCCCTCCCAGGGACCACCCCGGGACTCCCCGGGCGACCCAGATCAAAGGGAAGGGGCTTCCCTTCGATTCGATCGATTACCACCTTGCCAGATTTTCCTTCCGCTGACAGGCTTGAGGAGGAGGGTGCAGGGAAAGCAGGGCTCGTTTCGATTCCTCCGATTCGATTCGATTCGATTCGATTTAGATTGCTTCTAATTCCGCTTCGATCCGACTTGGGATTCTGAGTTGGGCTCAGATATCTTAGTGAAGGCATACTAGCCTTCCGATTTCTGCCGGCTCGACGTCTCCCGACTCGGCTGTCGATCTCCGCCGATCCGATCCGCCCCGATCGCCGAGCCGACTCGTCGATTCGATTCTGGGCCCTCCTGGGACAGAGAACGACGGAGACGACGGACGGACGGAGACGACGACTCGAGCAAGCGACCCACGCGCGCCGACGGGGTCGGCGGATGCCGAGGAGGCCCAGGCGGCCGCCTCGGCGCTCCCTCCCGAGGCCCAGAGAGAGAGCCTCCGGGCTCGAGGAGGTGCAGCGAGACGCTGGCATGGTGGACCCCAAGGAGGGGGGGTCCAGCGACAAGGCGGTGGGTGCAGTACAGCGCCGGTTTTCATACATGCTCCGCAGTGCAAGGATGAGTTTATGCATGCGGGGTTGCCGTAGAATTGGGGCGTGCAGCAACTTCTGGTGCGCAGATGCACTGCTGGGCCATCGCGTGCAATACATTCGTTGCAGTACAATGCCGAGCAATGTTCTGGCGCAGTGCATTTGCAGTACAGTTGCCCCGAACCTATTGCACCACCCCCTTTCAGTTGGACCCTCTTGTGGGTTCAACCGAAGCTGGGGGCACCGTGGGCCAGGGTCACCTCCGGCAGCACCGGTTTGTGGATCAGGTCAGGCGGCGGCGGCGGCAAGTTGCCCGTGAGTGGAGCCAAGTAGCACGCGGCCCGTAGGACGGCACGCGGCCCTCAGGCAGGGCAGCGATCGCACGCGGGTGCTCCTCTTTGGGAGGGCGCGCGCGCGCGGCCAGCCGCTAGCTTGCGCGAACACCCTGCATGAGGTATAGGGCAGTGTGTCCGCGAGCGCCCGCACTAAATGGAAGGCGACGACACCTATCCAGGCGTCCGCGCGTCCACATGACTGTGTCTTCTCGGACGTGAGTGCATGGGACGGGGGGGAGGGAGGGGAGATTGAGACTCACAGAACTTGAATGCAACGACCTTCCCATGCACCCAGTACAGCACGTCCAGTGTCAGGGGAGGCGGACGTTCTCCAAATCCCACCATCACAGACACCCCACCATCACCACCGTCAAACAGCAAAGAGACATCATAGCCGCAGCCCCATCACAGACATGCCAGACTGATTCACTCGCGGATCCGAAACCCACGATTCTTCAATGTTTGTTCATTCCATGGGTCGCATGCTCCCCCCTGCATGGAGGAGCGGAGAGGAGAACTTGAAGTTAGAACGAGCGTGTTCTACCGCTGCTGGCGGAAAACCGGGGGGGGTCACTGGGGGTTCCCAACCCGTCCCCCCCCCCTCGCCGCCGGCAAACGATTCCCGCTCCTCGGGACAGTTGGACAATGGTGGGGATGCTGGGACAGTGGTGGGAACGGTGGTGGTGGGGACAGTGGTGCGGGGACAGTGGGACAGTGGTGCGGACAGAGGTGGGACGGTGGTGGTGGGGACAGTGGTGAGGGGACAGCGGGACAGTGGTGGGGACAGTGGGACAGTGGTGGGGACGGTAGTGGTGGGGACAGTGGTGAAGGCGGTGGTGAGGACAGTGGTGGGACAGTAGTACAGTGGGGAAAGTGGTGGGGACAGTGGGGACAGTGGGACAGTGATGGGGACAGTGGGGACGGTGGGACAGCACAGTGGGACAGCGGCGGGGACAGTGGGACAGTGGTGGGTACAGTGGGGACAGTGGGACAGTGGTGGGGACCGTGGGGAAAGTGGGGAGAGTGGGACCGTGGTGGGACAATGGTGGGGAGAGTGGGGACAGTGAGACACTGGTGGGGGCACTGGTGGGGACAGCGGGGACAATGGTGGGAACAGTGGGGGCAGTGGGACAGTGGTGGGGACGGTGGTGGTGGGGACAGTGGTGTGGGGACAGTGGGAATGTGGTGGAAACAGTGGGACAGTGGAGGGTACAGTGGTGGTGGGGACAGTGGTGAGGGCGGTGGCGAGGACGGCGGTGGGATAATGGGACAGAGGTACAGTGGGGACAGTGGTGGGGACAGTGGGGACAGTGGTGGGAACAGTGGGACAGCTCAGTGGGACAGCGGAGGAGTCAGTGGGACAGTGGGGACAGTGGGGATAGTCAGTGGTTGGGGCCGTGGAGAAAGTGGGGAGAGTGGAACCGTGGTGGGAACAGTGGTGGGGACAGTGGGGACAGTGCGACAGTGGTGGGGGCACTGGTGGGGACAGTGGGGACGGTGGTGGGAACAGTGGGGACAGTGGTGGTGAGGACCGTGGTGCTGGGGACAGCAGTGGGGGACGTGGTGCGGACGGTGGTAGGGACCTGTGAGTCGTTTGCTGGCGGTGAGCGTGGGGGGGAGGGGGGCTGGCGCGCTCCGAGCGCCATGGAGGGGGGCTCCAGCGCGAGTCCCCCAAAAAGCAGGTTTGTGCTTACACATGTTTCCTTGCCTCTACCCACTGCACGTCCCTTGACACGTCCCTCGGCGCACGGCCACGGCCTCATCCAGAGCCTGAGGCCACGGCCCCACCCGCCTCGCCCGAGGTGGGCCCAGACATCTTTCCGTGGCGGTGATTTGTCTGTTTGTCTGGCTGTTTGTCCCCCGGCGCGCGTCTTTCACCAGAGACAAGCCAGGGGGGTGGCTGTCCCACCCTCTCGAGCTGGTGGCACCTCGTTCCAGTCATGTCTTCAGAGAGTTCCGGGGAAGGAGGTGCCACCAGCTCGAGGGGAGGGAGCGGCCACCCCCCTAGCTGGTGGTAGTGGCACCGTTGTCTCTCTTGACGTCTTGTGGCGCGTCTCCCCCTCCCTCGCCACGCCTCCTCCCCCCTGAGGCGGAGGAGGAGGAGGAGGGGGAGGAGGAGGAGGAGGAGGAGGAGGAGGAGGAGGAGGAGGAGGAATAGGAGAAGGAGGAGGAGGAATAGGAGGAGGAGGAGGAGGAGGAGGAGGAGGAGGAGGAGGAGGAGGAGGAGGAGGAGGAAGAGGGGGAGGAGGATGAGGATGAGGAGGAGGAGGAGAGGAGGAGGAGGAGGAGGAGGAGGAAGAGGGGGAGGAGGATGAGGAGGAGGAGGAGGAGGATGAGGAGGGAGGAGGAGGAGGGGAAGGAGGAGGAAGAGGAGGAGGAGAAGGAGGAGGAGGAGGAAGAGGAGAAGGAGGAGGAGGGGAGGAGGAGGAGGAGGAGGAGGAGGAGGAGGAGGAGGAGGAGGAGGAGGAGGACGAGGAGGTGGAGGAGGAGGGAGAGGAGGAGGAGATGGAGAGAAGGGGGAGGAGGGGGATTGAGGGGAGGAGGACTGGGAGGAGGAGGAGGAGGAGGAGGAGGAGGAGGAGGAGGAGGAGGAGGAGGAGGAGGAGGAGGAGGAGGGGGGGGAGGAAGAGGAGGAGGAGGGGAGGAGGAGGAGGAGGAGGAGGAGGAGGAGGAGGGAGGGGAGGAGGAGGAGGGAGGAGGAGGAGGAGCAGGAGAGGAGGAGGAGGAGGAGGAGGAGGAGGAGGAAAAGGAGGAGGGGTGCCTGGCCCCAGCCTCCGCCGCGAGAGCGCCGGGGGGACGGGGCGGCGTGTGGGCTCCCTCCGCACAGCTGCGCACGGGGGCGCGCGCGGGGGAGCCCGGAGCAAGGCCGGGGGCGCCAGGCCCTCGGGCCGCGTCGGAGCGACGGCCAGCGCCCGCGGACGGCCGCAGCCGTCGTGCAGCCGAATCAGCCTCGAGTCGGGTACATCCCTCTACAGGAGGTATATTCAAACATAGTCAAATAGTCAAACAATAGTCAACAACAAATAGCCAAACAATTGTCAACATATTTTACTACAAGAGAAAAAACAAGCAAAACAAATTAGGGGACGATTTTGTGACGAGATGTTTGTGGATCATGTCTTATGTTTCGTCCAAAGTCCGCCTGTGAGGGGGCATGCCCGACCTGGGGACAGCGCCCGCGGACGGCCGTAGCCGCCGCCCGGCCGCACCAGCCAGTCGCGCAGACAGAAACAAATTTGGAAATCTGGCGTGTTCTCGTGGACCCGCGCCATGCTCGCGCCAGTGGCGGCGCCAGAGGCGCCGACAGGCGTATCCAGCGCACATCCGAGAGATCCGCGCGAATCTCCGACAGCTGATGTTCTTCGAGGGGGCGCTGGCATGGATCCAGGCGCGTGGATTAGCGACGGGCCCCGTTGCCGACGGTCACCGGCGCGCTCCGTCGCCACACCAGGCGGCGCTGGCCTTCTCTGTCGGGGCCGCCTTCCCCGATGCGTGGATCTGGCCCCCACGCGCCAGATCTATGGACCCCTCATCTGAAGTCGGGCCTGTCCCTCTACAGGGGGGAAAATTAAAAAAACAGTGAAAAAATATCTGGGGACTCTTTTTGGAGCATTTTTTGACCATTTTGGGGTTATTTGTTGACTATCTTCTATTTTTCGTCGAAGGTCCCCCTGTAGGGGGACACGCCCGACTTAACCCTAATCCATGTTGGCGTGCGCTTTTTCCGCCGCCTTCTGCCGCAGCCGTCGAGCAGCCGCGTCAGCCCCTCGTGATCGGCGAGGGCAGGGGGGCAGGGGCAACGTTCGGGGGGGTACAGTGGAGGCCAGTCCACAAGAAACCTTCCACAGGAAACCCAGCCCGGAGACCCCAGGATGTCCATGGAGTTTTGCTGTGGGAAGGTCACGCTTTCCAGCGCAAAGTCATCGAAACCCACGAAACCCAGGGTACCCTGGAGGCAAGCAGGGTGTTTCCTGGCATGGGTTTCCCCTGTAGGACCAGGGGGGGGGGCCATTGATCGCCGATAGGGGTAAGATGGCCGCGCGCTGATTTACCGGCGATGTATCGCCAATTTATCGCCAATGCCGATTTACCGGCGATTTACTGGCGATGTTCGGGCATCTCGCCGATTTACCGGCGATGCAGCGCCAATGCCCGCTCGATGTTTCGCCCCCCTGAGCTGGCCCCCTGGTGGTCTCCAGGTCCGATCTCGGGCCTGCGGCGGCCGTTCGGGGCGATCCGCCGCACCTTCGGAACGCCTCCTGGCGAGGCGCGGCCGCCCGAAGGCCTCCCGAGGCCGGAACGGCTCCGAGACCCGACGAGCTCGTCGGGGAGCCTCGAGCCTCGAAACCGCGAGGCCCCCCCCCTCGCACCGAAGAAGAAAAAACACCATGGACAGAAAACTTTCGGCACTCCGCGCGGGATTTCCTGGATCTGCGCCGGAGCCCCCTTCCTGGCGCGCGGAGCGCGCCGGGCGCGGCGCCAGAGGCGCCGCCAGGGGGGGGCCCAGCGCGGCTGCAAGACAGCCGCGCGGATCGCCGAACGTTTATGCCTCTGGCGATTTTTCTTCTTCGATCGAAGCTCGGGCCGGGCGAAAGGGGGGGATTGGGAAAGGGGGGTTACGACATCTGCTGCCTGCCGCTGGTTTCGGCCCCACCGAGGGGCCCCTTCCTCGACGCATGGCCGCCTCCGGCGCCGGGAGGCGCCGGCAAAATCGCTACGTGAGCTGATTCTCAACCCCACCCTTTGCTATCCCCCCCTTTCTCAGCGAGCGACGAACAGTATAAAATAAACTTTCCAGCCGCCCAGGGACAGGCGCCCCCGACAGCGAAAAAGTTTATTTTATACCGTTCTTCGCCCGTTAACTTTCGCCCGACCCGAGAAACTCCGATGCCCTCCCCCAGCGTTGCCCCTCGGGGGGCGGCGGAGCGCGCGGGCCTCCTCGTGCCGCCGCGCGCGGGGGGGCCTTGAAGCCTGCCGGGGTGGCGCTCCGAGCCTCTGGGCCGCCAGGAGCCGTCTTCCCGTCGTCGACGTTGACGGTCGTCGTCGTCGCCGTCGTCGTCGTCGTCGTCGACGGTCGTCGTCGACGGTCGCGACCAGCGGCCGTCGTGGACGACGGTCGTTGAGGTCGTCATCGTCGCTCTCGTCGGTCGTCCTCGTCGTCGGCTGTTGCTGTCTTCGTCGTCGACGATGGTTGCCGTCGTTGTCAGCGTCGACGGTCGTCGTTGTCGCTTCGACAGCTGTTGACCGTCGTTGACGTCGTCGTCGTCGATGATCGCTGTTTTCGCCGTCGTTGTCGTCTTCGCCGTCGCAGCGGCCAGAACGTGCCTTGTAAGTGGCGGTACTCTCGGTGGTATTGTGTCAGACGCGGATTCCCCGCGGATGTCAAATTATTCGACGCAGATTTGGTGTGAATCCGTGGATTCGACGCAGATTCGGCGCGAATGGCGACGTGAAGGGACAGACGGGATCCACCCGAAGATACGGCATACGGGATGCCGAGATCTGAGCCCCCGAAGTCTGTGGTAGACAGGGTCCCCCGAGGGCAGTGATCTGCGCCTCTCAGAGCAGGCGTCGAGAGGGATCCATTCCAATGGGGTGAAGTACAGATCAGTTGGGTGGGCGCCAGTGTGTGGGGAGGTCAGAAAGCATCTCCTTCGACACAGCTGATCACGCTTCACAAGATGTCAGTTGCCGTCGTCACCAGCGCCGCCCCCGTTGCCCCTCATCACTACCTCATTATGCTCCTCGTCGGTCCTCCCCTCCTGGTGCTCATCCTATCCCGCCTTCCCCTCCCTCCTGCTCCTGCTGCTCCTCGAACTCATGCTCCACCTGTTCCTGCTCATCACAGGGGTTGTCCCTCCAACTCCCCTGCGTCTGATCCTCATGGTGCTCCTCCTCTTGCTTATAACTTATGTAACTCTCCCTGCTCCTCCTACTCTAGCTCCTTCTCCCCTTCTCGCTCCTGCGGTTCCCGCTCCCGCATCTTTTCCTCCGGTTCTTCTTTTCCCACCCAGTGGAGAACAGCCGAGACCAGAAATGAGGAGTCATGCAATGCACATAATTCTTGATAGGCACAAGCCCAGAGGGCTTGCGCGGTTCCTGATCGTACCAATCACAGACATCGGGGAGCGCAACAGACATGTTGTCGTCGGCAATTTGCTTTGGAGGAGCTGCCCCATGCCCTTACACTCCTCCTCCTCCTCCTCCTCCTCCTCCTCCTCCTCCTCCTCCTCCTCCACTCCCTCATGTTCCTCCTCCTGCTCCTCCTGCTCCTCCTCCTGCTCCTCCTCCTGCTCCTCCTCCTCCTCCCCCTTTGAGGCCGTTTAGCCGGGGGATGATGGGCGGGGTCGAAAGGCTCGAGGTCCTCATCCGCTGTCGCATCCGGAACAGTTCCGGCCTGCCCAGGACGAAGATTCGGGCCTCCGAGAGTGGCGCCGCACCCGGAGGAGGACGCCGGCTGGTGAGCTGGATCGTGAGGGCCTTCGTGGCACCTTCGTGGCCGCACGGGTCCCTGGCACCGCACGTGCGGGTTCAGCCCCCGAGGCGGCACGAACCTGCAGGGGCGGCGCCCCTGCTTGGGCGGCATGGAGGAGCAGAGGTGTTTTTCCTTGGAGGAGCGCGCGGGCGCGGGGAGAGGAAAGAGGGGGCTCCGACACCAAACTTAGGCTGTCGTGGACCCGAAAACCCGTGGAGGTTCAGAGGTGCGCTTCGCACTGACCTTTCCCTCGGCCAGTCTCGCTCTCTGCTGGGGCACCTGCCTCATCAAGTTCGCTGCGATCCTGCAGCGTCCCTGCGAGGTGATCTTGGAGGAGCAAAAATGCGGCCGCAGCGTCGCCGTCAGGAATCTCTAGGAAGCTCCTTCTTGTCGGCCTTCCCCTGGCCGCCTGCGAACAGGTGCCGAGCGGGCTGTGGGAGGGGAGCCTCTCGGGCGGACGCGGGAGGCAACCGACCAGGGCTTGTCTGGAGGAGGGCACGAGGAGGATTGGGAGGGAGAGGGAGGGAGGGATGATCTGGGCCTCGTCCTCCTCCTCCTCCTCCTCCTCCTTCTCCTCCTGCTCCTCCCCCTTCTCCTCCCCCTTCTCCTCCTTCTCCTCCTCCTTCTCCTCCTCTACCTCCACCTCCTCCACCTCCCCCTGGGGGGAGCGCAACAGCCCCGCCGCGGATGCCTGCCTCCCAAGAGGAGGCACACGAGGGGCGGCAGGCGGGGGCGGGGACGCGACGATCCCCTCCTCGCCCGCCCCCCCCCCCGCTTGGCCGCCCGTGCCCGCGGCTCGCCTTCCTCGCCTCGCGGGGCCTCCTCGCCGTGGGCGGTCTTATGACGCTGCATTTTCAAACTCATGGTCGCAGGCCTGCCCGCCAAGGTGCCGCGTGAGGCTCCGGCCCATCGCCTTTAGGTTAATTCATCTTTGCACGGCCCGCTCTGACTCAACTCGCCGCTGGCGCTCTCGCCTGCGGTCGCTGACTAAGAAGCCCAAACTCCTGGGAAGGATTGCGCCAGTGGAGCCAATAGTACACACTCGAGATCGTAAGGTAACCGTGCACTTCGGCAGCTGAGCTTCGGCACCGCTGGGCACCCCCGCCGGGCTTTTGGAGGGCCACCCCCCCGGGCGCACAGCGGCGCTCGTCCCGTCGCCGTGCGCAGCTGGGGGGCCTCGCCGGCGCGCGGTCGGCGGTCCCTTCCGGGAGCTCCTGGGCCGTGGCGGACCTCTGAGCCTCCTAGATCAGTCGGGGTAGGGGTAGGGGTTCGCATGCGGCCCCCTACGGGCGGTCATACGGTCACCTCCGGGAGTTCCTGGGTCGTGGCGGACTGGGGGGAGGAGAGAGGAGGGAGGGTCTAGGCCTTGCAGATGGGTTCCGAGCAGACAGGGGTCGGAGAATCGCGCCGCATCGGCGATGCGGCTCGATGCGGAACCCGATTTTCTGCACGCTGGCGTCGCCGATGTATCGCCGATGTCGCCGATGCATCGGCGATGCATCGGCGATGCGGGCGGCGCGATCCTCCGACCTCCATCCACTCCGACCCCATCTAGGAGGCCTCTAAGTAGGGCTGGAGATGGGGATGGGAGGGAGGAGGGGGCGATCACTGTGGGCCCCACGGCGGTGCTGCTCGAGCCCTGGCCGGAGCACTCGCCGGTGGTCTCAGAGTCCGTCACCGTGCGTGGTGCCGCGGCCAGCGCACGCAAAGTTCGGGCAGCGGCCGCGGGATGCGATTCGAGCATGCGCCTCCCACGGGCCAGAGGCCGATCGAGGCATCACCCCCGCCAGGGACCAGCAATTAATGCACCCCATGCCAAGAAACACCCTGCTTGCCTGCAGGGGTCTCTCGGATTTCGATGGTTTTGCTATGGGAAGCGTGACGTACCCACACCAAATGTGTGTATATATATATATATATATATACATGGACGTCCTGGGGGCTCAGGGTTGGGTTTCTCGTGGAAGGTTTCTTGTGAACTGGCCTCCACTGTAGTCTCGCTGGGATGGCACGTGGAGGATGATGGCGACGGAAGCACCGAGAAACTCCTTGCCTGCCCGACACGGGTGCGCACGCATCGTTTCTTGCAGGGGCCGCTAGCCAAGGCAACCACAGTTCCAAGGGCGTGCTGAGACCATGGGCCCCGCCAAGTGCCAGGCAGGCTTGCAGGCCCCCGCCGGGAGGAAGCAGGAGGAAGGAACGGACCTCTTGGAGAAACCGTCTATGCAACACCAGGAAAGGGCAGCAGGGACACCCCCAAAAAACCGCAATACGAGACGGATCTCGCTCGACACAGCGCAGTCCCCCACGCGCTGGGTTACCAGGACCAGCAATCTAGGCACGAGGGCGAGGAGAAGACGGAAGATGGTGGAGTGGGGAGGAGGACGAGGGCGAGGAACGGATATAGGCGGATGGGGAGGCCTCCTACGACGGCGTCGAGAGGGATGTGGCGGATTACAGATGATCGTTGATGGTTTGTTCGGTTAGATTGCATGCGCATATCGCTGTCATGCTTGCTGCTCCATCCTGCTCCTTTGTCTCGTACCACGCGCTTCACCATCCTGTCAGGAAGTCCTACGCCATGACGCGGGGGTTCGAGCCAGGCGCCATCGCGAGCGCGTCCGCTCTGCCTTGTCCACCTCCTGCTACGGCGCTTGCTCCGCCTGCTTCCCCTCTATCCAGCTGCCTGCGGTAAACCCTGCGGCCGTGTCAGCGCAGCATCGAAGCGCATTCAGGGAGGTTCGGCCGAGCTCTGCCGGAAGGCTCGGCAGAACCATCGATGGTGCAAGTCTCAGAAGCAGCGTTGTGATGTTGGAAGCGGAGCGTGTCTGCCACTATGCCATGGTTGTTGCGTCTTCTCCTGGATGTTCCTTGTAGTCTTCTCTGGTCCCTCTTTGGGCCTCTTTGGGGGCTTCTTGGTCACTGCATGGGCGGCTGTTGCGAGACGCCTGGGGATCTCGGGGGCTGTCTAGGGCGCTGTGTCTCTACAGTTGCGACCCACGCCAAGAAACACCCTGCTTGCCTCCCGGGTGCCCCAGGCTTCTTGGGCTTTGATGGTCTCGCTGTGGAAAGCGTGACGTCCCCACAGCAAAAATCAATGGACGTCCAGAGGTCTCGGGGTTTGGTTTCTTGTGGAAGGTTCCTTGTAGGAGGAGGAGGAGGAGGAGGAGGAGGAGGAGGAGGAGGAGGAGGAGGGGGGGCTGGGTCTTACACTGTGGTCGGGCCTCCACTGTACTCGAAGTCGAGCCGAGCCGTGCTCTCCCGAGGCCACCGACGGACGCTTTGAGTCGAGGCCGGCCTCTCCAGATCGCCTCGGCGGCGTCGTCCTCGGGGCCGCCTCGGCGGTTTGGGAAGGGCCCATTCCGATGCCGCCGACTCGGTTCGACTCGATTTCGACGGGTGCCGATTCCGATTCCATTCGACTTCGGATTCCGATTTTCGGGATCCGATTCCTCGGTGGAGGCCTACTCGGCTGCCGATGTCTGCCGATTCGACTTCTCCCGACTCTGCTGCCGATATCCGTCGATCCGACTCATGTCGATCGCCGATCCGACTTGTCGATTCGATTCTGGGCTCTCCTGGTTGTGGGGTCGTCTTGGGGCCCTGCTGGAGCAGTCTCGGGCCGTCGTGGGGGTTTCTCGGGGCGTCGAAGAAGAAGCAACTGCATATACACAAACCTTCGGAGCTTCGCGCGGGCTTCTTGGATCGGGGCCGGGCCCACTCTGTCGGCGCCTCCGCCGCCGCTACTGGCGCGCTCCGCGCGCGAGGGAGGGGGGAGCAACCCCAATCCAAAAAGTCCACGAGGAGCTCTGAAGGTTTATGCTTATGCAGTTGGTTCAGTCAGAAGGTATCCAGATTCTCTCATGGTCGTTTTCGGTGTTCGCTGGGGCTTTGGGGGCCGTCAGGTTATCCTGTGCAGAGAAGCGCGGGAAGCAAAGCACGCATGACTCGTTGATTTCTTGCACCGCTTTGCTGCAGAGGTCCGTTGGGCGCCTCTAGGGGGCTTTATGGGGTCTCTTGTGGTCACCTCGGAGCCTGTGTGAGGTCGATGGCTGTAATGAAACTGTCTTGGGAGTACCTCACAGCCGTCTCGGGGTTGAAAAGAGTGCTTGGCAGTCAAACTGTACTGCCATGTATTCGACTCCGCCAACTCTATCACGCCCACTCCGTGCAGGCACGGCGGCGGATGGTAGCGCGCAGCGTTCTGTACTCTGCTGACTTATCCAGCTTGAAATCCAGCTTCGCAGTCGCCCAACGTCGGTGGTAAGCCCGGGGGGAGGGGAGAAGGCCCTTCTCAGGAGGAGGCGGAACATCTCAGAAGCCTTCGCGCCTTCTGAGAATAAGTTTTGTCTTCGGTGCAGGTTTAGAACACTTCTTCGAAGTTCGGGCGCACCTAATCTCGGTGGTGTGCCCGGTGGGGAAGTGAGAAGCGGCGGGTCAGAAGCTCGGGAGTCCCTCGGCCTTCCAAGAAGTGCTCGAAGCCTCCCCCGGAGACGCAGAACAATCCTCAGAAGGCGCGAGGGCTTCTGAGATGTCCCGCCGCCGCCTGGGAAGGGCCTTCTCCTTCTCACTTCCCCCCCTGATCGCCACCGAGTGCTCGTGTCGTGGAGACATCAGGACGTGTATGTGTTCGTCATTGTCGGCCCCTCGGGGCCCTCGCTGGGCCCCAGGATCGTGAACAAGCGAGTCAGGATGAAGCGCTGGTTCTGGGGAAGGGGTCATCGGGCCGGGCGAACGGGGGGGATTGGGAAAGGGGGGGTTACGAAATTTGCTGCATGCAGCTGGTTTCGGCTTCACCGAGGGGCCCATTCCTCGATACATAGCCGCCTCCGGCGCCGGGAGGCGCCGGGAAAATCAGCTACGTGAGCTGATTCTCAAACCCCCCCTTTGAAATCCCCCCCTTTCAACCGACTCGAGGTCAGGACTTCTTGGAACCCCGTGCGGGACAAATCTGGACGTCGCATGTCTGAGGAGACCGCCCCACCCACCAGACCACCCCAACCCAAGCCGAAGGCCCCGATTTTCCCTCACTCGCAGCCGATTCGGTCGGGCTGACCAGCCCCCACCCGTTCCCGCGGGTTGCCTCCCGAGGCAGGACCTGATCGATCTCCGAGAGTTTCCGTGGGCCTGTGGATGACGATCAATGGAGAGGAAGCATGTTGCCACAGAATCTCCAGATGTATCCAGAATGTGTACGACATGCCTTGCACATGTGCAACAAACATGTTTCGGGGCATCTTTAGAACTTGTTCTCAAGCATGTTTAACACAGTTTTCATTCAATGATCGGGCTGTTAGTTCCATCGTCGGATCTTTAGGGTGTCCGTTGTCATGGCATCCGCAGCAGTGGGCCCCCGCGGGCGGCGGCGGGGCCCCATCGGCGCCCTCGGCCGCGCGTGAGGCGACGCGGACCGCGGCCGCGAGCCGTGCCCGGACCGCATCGTGGAGGACCTGGGCGGGGCCTTCGGCATGGGCGCCGTCGGAGGAGAGCCCCGGCCGCCGGCGGCCCAACGGCGATGTTGCCGACGCTGCGCGAACGGAATGGGCACGGAAAGAATGGGCACAGTGCCCAACAGCGGATCTTGTTCATTTTGAACAGGACTCGCTGTTCACGCCGCCGCGGCCTGTGTCCATTCAAGACAGAAGGCCGCTTGCCCAACCGCGGCCGCTGTTGGTTGGGGACAACATTTGTTGTTGGGCATTGTGCCCATTCTTTCCGTACCCATTTCGGGCGTCCAAACCGACGGCGGTGTAGGTTTCGCCCATGCCGAGGAGCACCCTGCTTGCCTCCAGGGCGCCCTGGGCTTCTCGGGTGTCGATGGTCTTGACATGGAAAGCGTGGCGTGCCCACGCCAAAAACGGGGTCCCAGGGTCGGGTCTCTTGTGGAAGGCTTCTCGTGGTCGGGCCTCCACTGTAGGCAACGGCGGTGCAGGTCTCGGCATCGTGTGGGCGCGTGGCTCTCGCTTTCCTGCAAGTCGCTGTGTCGTGTTCGCTCGATATTCGTTTGCAGATCGGACATTTGTAGGGAAGTGTGGCTCGTGATTTCTCCTGCACCTTGGTTCCCAACAGCACCGTTAAGCGACATCGCCGTTGGCCCGGCCTTTGCCCGAACCCCGCCCTCCCCGCCGCCCGCCGCGACAGGTTGGCCGTGCTCGGGTCGGACGGAACGGGGGGTCAGGGTCAAGGCGCTGAAGCACGGTCGAAGCCGTTGGTAAGCATGGGTCACCTTCCCACGGCGGCTACCCTCACATCCGTGCCTCTTTCGTCCATCGTTGGCTGCTTTCGATGGCCAGGCCACCCCCCTCGAGAAGCTTCGGCATGGGTGCCCAGGGGGCTGGGCCATCCTTGTCGCGCACCCTTGCTACCAGTTTTGACTGTAAGGGCCTTTCTGGGTTCTTGATCGCCCACCAAACCACCCCAACCCAACCTGAAGGCCCCGATTTGCCCTCCACTTCCAGTGGGGGGGGGCGTCGGGGAACATTGAAAAACACGTGGAACCCGTGCCCCCCCCCAGCCCGAAATTCGGGTCTGCGGGTTGGGTTGGGCTGGTCTGGCAGGTAGTCCGGCTGGCATCCTCGTCGCGCATCCTCGCCATCAGTTTTGACTGTAAGGGCCGCGTTGGGTTCCGGAGGGCCTCGGGCTTGCAGGCCGGTCCTTTTACTTGGTATCGCTCGGACGTATGCACTCTTTCTCGGCGGAGATTATTAAGGAGCATCCTGGGTCATCCTGGGCAAAACCACGCACGAAACCAAAACGAAAACCCGGGGAATGGACGTCCGAGCGATGACCAGTTTAGGTCTGGGTCGGGGAACCCAATCGCGGCCGAGGCTCGCCACGTGGCCAGGAGAGGCCCGAGGGCCTCCGACGCATCCCGGCCTCCGTGCCTGGACACGTGGCTGCAGTGGAGCTGTGGACGACGATCGATGGAGAGGAAGCACGTTTCGGAGGTGGATAGACCTCCTACCCTGACACGTCGATTAAGGAATTGGCCGTTTTCGGTTCGCGAGAGGGCGTCGCGGCCGTCATTTTCGCGGGTCCAGGTCCGTCGGTTTCGGTCTTAGGCCGTTCTCACTAAGGGGAGCCAAAGGGAGGTTTGTCCAACGCCGAACAGTGGAGCTGTGGACGACGATCGATGGAGAGGAAGCATGCTGCCAAATAGTTTCCAGATGTTTTAAGCATAGGTCAACATGTCTTAAACCTGTAAAACCATGTTTGAAACATGCCCAGAGCAGGTTATCAAGACTTTGAAACACATGTTTAATACAATGATCGGACTGTTAGGGTGCCCATTGTCATCTTATCCACAACATTGGAGGCCCATGCCAAGAAACACCCTGCTTGCCTGCAGGGTGCCCTGGGTTTGTTGGGTTTCGATGGTTCTGCGATGGCAAGTGGACGTCCTGGGGTCCCAGGGTGGGGTTTCTTGTGGAAGGTCTCTTGCCGTCGTACCCCCACTGCATCGAGCCTAGTGGGTGTTCGTTGTGATCTCGTAGGAGGCCTCTCGGGGACTTCTTGGAGGCAGTTTGGAGGCCTCTGTGGGGCCGCTTTGGGGGCCTCTTGGGGCCTCTGTTTGTGCTTCTTTGGGGCAGTTTGGGGGGCCTCTTGGCGCTCCATTTGCCTTTTGGGGCCTCCTCGGGGCCTCTTGGTCTGGAAGGCTCGGATGTTTGGTTCGTGCTCCCTCTCTTGGCCCGTTTTGGGGCCGTCTTGGGGCCCTCTAGGGCTGTCTTGGGGCCATCTTGAGGACTCTTGAGCCGTTTTGGGGTGGTTTGGGGGGCCTGTTTGGGCCGTATGGGAGCGTCCGAAAGCCGAAAGGCGAGAAGACCATCATCCTTCAGGGCGCCCGAGAACGATCTTTCGGCGACTCGGGGCCCTCTTGGACCGCCTTGGGGGCCTCGTGGGCCCTCTTGGCCGGTCTTCGGGCCCTCTTTGGCCCGAAGAAGTCATATACGGAAGCGCCACCTCCTGGAGCCCCGGGGGCACGCGACAAGCCCCGAGGGATCGGGGCCCCTCAGAAATCGGGGGTGGACAGAACCCCCAACAGGGACACGTCGATTAGTGAATTGTCCGTTTTCGGTTCTCGAGATGGTTCCGTGTCTGTTATTTTCCAGGCTTGCGCCCGCCAGGTTTGGGTCTCAGGTCGTTTTCACTAAACCACGTTTTACTAAAGGGGGGTCTGTCCATCCCCGAAGAAGCTCTTCGGGACTGAGGGCTGAGGCTCCTGGGACTTGGCAGAAGGCCTGAGGACACGCCCGCTCCGTGCCCACGGGCACGGCGGCGGATCCAGCGCTACGTCTGCAAGGCCATGCTTGCAGGCAAGGGGGGGGGGGCTACGAACTCTGCCGAGTGCAGTCGCTTTGGGCCCCGCTCTCGAGCGCTCGCCTCGATGCATCGGCGCCGCTGGCGCTGGGAGGCGCCAGAGGAATCAGCGACGTGAGCCGATTCGCTAACCCCACCCCCCTGGTGCCCACTTCTTCGTCCGAGCCGCCTTGCCTCTTCACACGTTTGAGGTTGTGTGTTCTTCAGGTGCCGGCATTCTTGCCTGCTTGGGAGAGGTGCGCAGCGAGGCCCGAAGGGAAAGTTGGACTTCACGCAGGTCGTAGTTCGCCTGCGCGACGTTCCGGCCCAGCACCGGTTCACAAAGCAGCGAGGGGGGGACGGAAACACCATGCAAGCACATTCGCCGTAACCTACATCACGAGCGCGTCCTTTTGACGGGAGTCCGAGCCCACCAGGTCGCCCAGTAGGTTCAGTTGTGTCTCCCATGATCCCATGATTATTGGGAGGCGCTCAGATTATAGGATGGCGGCAGCGAGATCCGAGGGCAGAATTCCGATGGATAGAGAGAGAGACACACACAGAGACAGAGTGAGAGAAAGAGAGAGAGAGAGAGAGACAAAAACAACAACTTTAGAAAGAGAGAGAGAGAGAGAGACAGTTCATGAGATATAACGAGAGCATATACATATAGAGATAACCAACACAATACACTACGAGGATGAGGAGGAGACGGAGGAAAGGAAGAGCACCACGGGTCGTAAGTGAATGCTGGTAAGAGTGGGTATTGTGTGGAGGGGGCTGTCCCTCTCTCTATTGTTTGTGTCTCTCTCTCTCTCTCTCTTTTTCTCTTGATCCATATATATATATATGTATTGAGACTGGCGCCTGGAGGTCGTTTGATTGGCCCCTAGTGCTGTCCCAAACGATTCTGGCGGCGGCCACAGAGCTCTCGACCCCCATCCCATGGGCCCCGAAAAAACGGCATCCGGATGCCAAGTGGAGGAGAAGGAGGAAGGAAGGAGGATGCGCGGAAGGATCAGCAGGGGGGGACTGAAATGGGTGAGGCGGAACGGGAGGTTCGTGAGGGGGAAAGGCGAGGGCGAGATGAAGGATAGAGGGGCAGGAGGAGGAGGAGGAGGACGAGGAGGAGGAGGAGGAGGAGGATATAGGAATCGAGAGGGGGTGTTCAGGAGGAGCGGAGGGATGAGGGCATAAGGAGAGGAACCCAGGGGACGCAAGGAGGAAGAAACCATGGGGGAGGAGGATCAGTAGGAGCGGGAGCGGAAAGAAGCGGAGAGTTGGGAGGGATGATTTCGACTCGGTTGGGCAAGCGCATGGTTCGATCCCCTCCCCTCGAGGATTCGTGTGGCACTTCGTGAAGGGTGCCCGCCACTCTCCAGCTGGGGACAGGCCTTCCGCCACATATCGTGATTGCCATGCTGATACAACCGAGTTGTGTGACAATATTGTCATGGTCAATGTTGTGATGTCCAGCGGATCCCAACCGTGTCCGTGGACTGTGATGCGTACCGCGTCTTTTTCGATTATTTTCCGTTCGGTGATTTCACACGTTCGTTGATGTTTATGCGTGTCCCCTCGTGAAGTGATTACGTCTCCTGAATTGGTGAGCACGTCCTCTTCGGCTACGGACGTGTTTTTTCAGTGATTATTCCCACCGCGTTCATGCTCCCATCTCTCAGCGGTGAGCGAGGTGGGGGAATGAGAAGGGGCGGGCCTTTGAGAAGTTTTCTGAGCCCTCCCCGAAGACACAGAAGGCTTCCCGGAAGGCGCGAGGCCTTGCGAGAAGCCCCGCCGCCTTCTGGGAAGGGCTTCTCCTCCTCGCTTCCCCCCGGACTCGCCGCCGAGTTCCGGATCCCATCTCTCCGGCTCCGGCTCCCACATGTCGGGGGCGGAAAAGAGGGGGGTGATGACTAGGGGGTGGTGGATATCATGGCGGGGGCCATGATATTTCCCCAGGTCTCGTGGCGCCTCTTCTTATTTCATTACGTCCCTGGCCCCCCCGCTGGGCCGCGCACATGCCGCCGGTCATGATTTGCACACACCCCTCTTGGACACCCCCCTCTTGGCCGCTTCCACATGCTCCGATTCCCGACTCGGGCCCCAGCCCGCCGGAGCTGCCCTCGCATGGCCGGTCCGTCGGACCGACGGCACGCGCTCCGCTCCGCTCCGCTCCAGTCCCTCGTGGAGTGTTTCGCTGCCCTTGTATCTAGGCCTCCTAGATGGGGTCGGAGTAAATGGGGTCGGAGGATCGCGCCGCATCGTCGATGCATCGACGATGCGGCTCGATGCGGAGTCCGATTTTCTCCACGCCGACGTCGCCGATGCATCGCCGACGTTCCACGCCTCATCGCCGGTGCATCGCCGATGCATCGCCGATGCATCGCCGATGTATCGCCGATGTATCGGCGATGCGGCGCGGTCCTCCGACCCCATCTACTCCGACCCCATCCAGGAGGCCTCTACTGTATTAAGTCGGGCTTGTCCCTTTTTACAGGCTACAGGGAGAATGTTGAAGAATAGTCGAGAACTAGCCTGGGGACGACTCTGTCTGTGACTGTTGGACTGCTTTCTGCGTGTGTGTTGACTATGTGTCAGCTTCCTTCCAACAGCCGCCTGCAGCAGGACATGCCCGACCTAGCTTTTGTGGACACCCCCATCGCCTATCCCGTCGCCGAGCGGCATGCGGATCCGAGCGGCGCGGGGGCTCGGGCACGGCATGGGAAGATCGGGTGTTGCTAGAAGTACCCCTGGTCCAAGGTGCCCCCAGCTTTTCGCTTCATTTTGGAGCCTTTGGGGCCCTCTGGGCCTCGTAAGGGGTGCTTTGGAAGCCGTCTGGGCTACCCCGAAATTCTTCGGGGCACCTTGGCCCAGGGGCACCTCTAGCAACACCCGAGAAGAGGAGGCGCGAGTCTGGGGCTCCGCCCGTGCTCTGGGTTTGCAGCCCGGGGCGCAGCCAAGGCGCAGCACCACTTTTGGGCTCAGGTCGGGGCGATCCAGGAGGGGAAAGCACACACAGACACCATGAATCCTCGATTCCCCAGAAAATATGGGAAAATAGGGGAAGTGGGGGGGAAGACAGGAGCCCAGAACATATGGGAAAGATATGGGGAATCTTTCTATTTGTGTGCATTTATTTGTGTGTGTCCTGGGGCCCCTTCAACGATCAAAATAGGCACGGAAAGAGCGGGTACGATGCTCAACAGCAGTTCCCGTTCGTTTTGAACAGGACTCGCGGTTCGCGCCGCCGCGGACGTAATTCTGGGAGGACAGAAAGCCGCCTGCCCAACAGCGGCCGTGGTCGGTGTTGGACGACATTTATTGTTGGGCAGTGTGCCAATGCTTGTCCGTACCCATCTCGGGCGTTCAAATCAGGAGGACTCTGGTTTGGGGGCCACTCCTTCTGGGGGTCGTGTCCGTGGCCGACAGGCGCCGGGACCAGAAGAGCCCCCTTCGTCCCTTGCCCAGCCTCCCTTGCGGTGTCACGATGACTGGGCCCCCGGGGCAGCCACTGGGCAGCCACTGGGTCGGTCCGCGAGGCCCTTCGGGGAGGAGGCTGCCGGTTCCTCTCGTCGACGCGCCCTGCAGCGCCGCGGCCAGGGCCTCGAGGCGGGTCCGGACGTGGCGACGCGGCTTCCCTTTCTCCTGGAGCCCCGCGCGCCCCGAAAGAACGCCCGAGTTTCTCCTCGTCCCCCGTCTCCGCTCCGCCCGGGCAGAAGCCGAGATACTGTGGAGTCATAAGCTTCCGGAGGTTCGCGCGGACGAGCGGGGGCGGACAGACCTCCGACCCCGACACGTCGACTGAGGAGTTGGCCGTTTTCGGTTCGCGAGAGGGCGTCGCGGCTGTCATTTTTCCGGGTCCAGGTCCGTCGGTTTCGGTCCCAGGCCGTTTTCACTGAGGGGAGGTTTACTTAAAGGGAGGTTTGTCCACCGCCGAGATGACCGGGGTCGGCGCTGGACGGACCCCCCTGGCCATGACACCCCTGGGGCGTCGCCGGAGGCGTTGCCGAGGGGGGGTCGGGGAGAGGCCCAGCGTCGAGCTTCGCAATCCGCGCGGACACTTGCGTAGGTTGTTTGCCGTCTTCTTCTTTTTTTTGTGAGTCTGATCATTCGCATATTTATTGTTATTGCTTATTTTTATTATTATTAGTAGTTTGATTGTTGTTAATACTACTACTACTGCTACTGCTGCTACTACTACTACTACTACTACTACCACTACTACTACTACTACTACTACTACTACTACTACTACTACTACTACTACTACTACTACTACTACTACTACTACTACTACTACTACTACGATTAGTATGATTATTATTACTAGTCGTAGTAGTATTAGTACTAGTGTTATGATGATGAGTATTATTATTCTTATTCTTAATATCATTATTATTATTATGAGTAGTAGTAGTATTAGTAGTAGTAGTAGTAGTAGTAGTAGTAGTAGTAGTAGTAGTAGAAGAAGTAGTAGTAGTAGTAGTAGTAGTAGTAGTAGTCGTAGTCGTAGTCGTAGTCGTAGTCGTAGTCATAGTCGTAGTAGTAGTAGTAGTAGTAGTAGTAGTAGTAGTAGTAGTAGTAGTCGTAGTACTCTTCTTCCTCTTTTTCGTCTTCCTCCTTTTCTACTTTGCCTTCCCCTCCCAGTCGATCGCTCTCCCCCCGCCCGTGTCTGAGCCCTCTGCTCCTCGCCACGCAGGGCCTGCCGGCTCGACGCAGGGTGACGGAGGAGGGGAAGGAGGGAGAGGAAGGCAAGCTTTAGTGCCCCGGATGCTCACCGGCGGATGTGCCAGGAGGTCCCCGGAGACCCAGGTTCGTTCGAAGAAGAAAGAAGCCATAAACAGAAATTTTGGGCGCTCCGCGCGGATACCTTGGATCCGCGCTGGGACCCCCCGGCGGCGCCTCCGGTGCCGCTCCTGGCGCGCTCCGCGCGCCAGGGAGGGAGGTCCAGCTCAGATCCAAGAAACCTGCGCGGAGCGCCAAGAGTTTATGTTTATGGTTTTTGTTTTCTTCTTCTAGTCGTAGAGTCATCCAGAGGCCTTTGGAGGTTCAAGATGGCGAAACGCGCCTAGATCCCAGGTCCACGACCGTCGTTGAAGGAACGACGACAAGGACGAGGATGTTTGAGGGATTCGGCCATCTTGTAGTGATATCGTAAGGAAATGCCCGCCCACCGGGACCTTGAAGACGCACAAGGCGACAAGGAATGCGAAGCGCGCGAACCAGAGGAACAGTTTCACAACTACCGCGTGCCACCCCTTGTGGAAACCCATAGCCTCCTCTTTGAAGCAGAAGGAAGGCAAAGAGGACGAGGAAGCGTGAGGAGGAGCACCTCGCGTGCAGCAGGGAGTGGATGGCAGTGCTGTAACATCCACTCCCTGCATGATGCCATATACCCTCGCATGCTGCTGGTTCGCAGAAGGCATCGAGAGGACACCACACAGTGCGCTGCGCCAGCACGGAACACGCAATACGCAGCCATGTATTGGCTCACGCATCGGTCCAGCGCCACATGAGGTGGACGTGGTGGGGCCAGGCATACGGAAACGAACACTGGCATAAAGATAACGATTCGAAGGTCCGCGCGGACCTCCGAGCTTTTACGTGTATGCCATCCGGCCAGGCGCGATCACGGCAGGGGCGCCATCCCTGGACTGCCGCCCTGGGCTGCCGTCCGGGGAGGAGCACCATGTGGGGTACCGCCCGCCCTGCCCGCAGCGCTGCCGCCCGTGTGCGTGCTGCCTCCACGCGGAGGGAGGGGGGCGGAGGGCACCTCGGAGCGCGGGTTGCGACGTTTCGCCTCCCCCCTTTCTTCTCGGCGGCGAACGAGGGGGGGGGGGGAAGTGAGAGAGGAGAAGGACTTCCCAGAAGGCCTTCGGAAGTCCCGGGGCCTTCCGAGAAGTGTTCCACGCCTTCCCCGAGGACGCAAAGAACGTCTCGGAAGCCCCGCCGCCTTCTGAGAAGGCCTTCTCCTCCTCGCTTCCGCCCCCCCGCTCGCCACCCATTTTCACGTGCTCCTCGTCCCGTCCCTCTCCTCGTCTGCCTCCTCCGCTCCTCCGCATATCCTCTCGGCCGGGGGGCGGGACCGACCACACCGCCAGGGAGACCCCCCTTGCCTCCTCGCATCTTCTCGCCCTGGTGGTGCTGATGTCGCCTTTCCTTTGTTCCTACACGACCGCGACGACGACCCCCCGTCGAGGCTCCAGGGCGCCATGTACAGCGCCAGGAACCGCGCTCCGATCCTGGGCGGCAACTTCGCTGTCTGGGCGCGCGCGCGCGCGTGCGCCCCCGCGCGCCGTGGGCGGCGGCGGCTGACGAAGGTTCCTCGCCCGATCAATATCAGGAAGGGAAAACCACACAGACACAACGGATCGTCGACCCCCAGGAAAAGATAAGAGAGTATTATTGGAAGTGGGGGGGGAGGCGGAAACCCAGAAAATAGATGGGAATCTTGGGATTCGTGTCTACTGATCTGCGTGCCCCTGGGCCCCTTGGCATGACAAGGCATGGCATTCTGGTAGCACGACATCCGCCCTGGGGCGGAGGCGGCGCACGACAGATTCTTCTGGACGCGCCCGGCGGCCCCCTGCCTGTGCTCGAGGCTTCAGGAGGGGAAAAGACACATCGATTCCCCAGAAAATATGGGAAAATATGGGAATTGGGGGGGGAGAAAAAAAAAACCCAAAATATGGGAGAGTATGGGGAATCCTGTTATTTGTGTGTATTTATTTGTGTGTCCCAGGGCCCCTTCAAGGTTGTCGGTATCGTGCCCTCCCCCTGGTCCGGGGGAGGTCCGAGTTCGACGAGGGCCGATCGATTCGACTGCGCGTGAGAGTGGCCCTTCGCCGGCGGGACCTCTGGTGCGGGCTCATCGGGGTCCCCCCGATTGCCGAGCGCGATGCTTTCGCGGCTGCTTGCGCGCTTGGATTCGGCCACCGTGCGCCGCCAATCGTCCGCGCACCCGAAGGTCACTCCTGCCCAGGGTCACTCTACAGTCGGGGCCCTGAAGAAGGAACCCTTTTCGTTGGGGAGGGGCTCCGTGTTCCTTGATTGTTTCACAGCTTGCTTTAGGTTTTCCCTAGGTTTTCGATGGGAAGTCGAATTTGAACTGATGGGAAAAAGGGGCCTCGTTCCTTATTTAGGGTTCCGTAGGTCAACGCCCCGACTGTATGGGCGGAGCCGATCGATGCAGATGGGAGGTGGGAACATCAGCCCGAGCCAGTTGGTCAGTTGTCCTCAGTAGAGCAGTGGGTGCGCAGTTTTGGCAGCACGCCGGGTGTGGTTGGGCCAGGCCGACGTCCTGGGAAACACGGCAACGGCATGAACGGGGGCCGCTCTAGATGTGCTCTCATCTTCGCGTGCTGAGTCGATTCGGTATCGCTTGATATAGCCTTTCGTTGGTCGCGTTCGCTTGGTGCCAGGAGGACGTTCCTATAGTCGTCTCTATCCCTCCTCGTCTTCCCCCACCCATCTCCCCGATCTTACCTCACTCCCCACCGCGGACCCTGCCCTTTCAACTGCTCATCCGCGTCCCGCTACGTTCGTAAGTGCACGGCGCGGTTCTGTTGCTCTCTATGTCTTTCAAGAACATTGTGGCGCCGCCCCAGGGCGGGACGTTCTCGTGCTTCGACTGCTCGCTGCAGTACATCAGGAGGCTCGTGCCCGCCCTCACTCTCGGAAGAGAGGGGAGGAGCAGGAACATGAGGAGCAGGAACATGAAGCCTGACACATTTTCGCAACGTTCGCTTCGCTGTCGTCCAAAGCTCGCCACGACCGACTCGCGCGTCCGCCTAGGCAGAGACAAAACAGTGTCGTAGTTGTCGGTCTCCTGGGGACCTCCCTGGCCCACTGACCGTTAGAACAACGGCTTAGCCTATCAGACCGGTCCCAGGGAGAGGAGGACCCGCTTCATCCACGACCTGTTTTTTTTTCACCACCACCAAGCCACCCCAACCCAACCCGGAGGCCTCAATTTGCCATGCATTTCCAGTGTGGGGGGTCGGGGAACATCGAAAAAGCACATATGGAGCCCATGCCCCCCCTTTCCCGAAATTCGGGTCTTCGGGTTGGGTTGGGGTGGTCTTGTAGGTAGTCATTCTTCTTGTCAGAGGAAATGAAGGAGGTGCGGACTCGGGGCCTTTCACTGCTTGATGCAGAAATTTGGTTCCGGCCTCGTGCTCACCAAGGCCATAGATATGTGGGTATATATATATATATGTATGTATATACATATTCAATTTGCATGGTCCCTCCTCCCCCTCAGCATCTGCCGCTTCCTCCTCGTCCCTCGTCCCTCATTCATACCTCCTTCCCTCCTCCTCCCCCTGCCTGTACTCTGCTGCCGCCTGTCTCTCCCCTGTCCTCCCCAGGAGGCCACTCCTCCCCAGGGCTCGGGCGCACTCGTGCCGTTGCAGGCGCACGCGTGCAGGGAGCGCGTGCGGTATCCCGCAAGAGGGGAGTTACCCCAAAGTCACCCGAGGCCTAGGGAGCCCCCCCCCCCCCAGACGGACCAGAAGTTTGTAAAAGCATCCTCTCGCACCCAGCATCGATCCTCCGTCCTCCCCCACGGTCCTGGAGAGTGTGTGTGGTGTGCAGCCTCTCGCTCTCTCTCTCTCTCGATCTCTCCCTCTCTCTCTATCCTTCGCGGGCCCAAACTAGACCTTCCTGGTTGAACTGCACACATTTCGTCACTCCCGTGAAATCCTACGACGACCAGCGGAGCGGCGCCCCTCACGAACCCAGACTCAATATCGTTCTCCCAGGTCCAAAACCCCCGGGACCCCAAAACCCCCCCCAGGGTTGGGTTTCCCAAAACCTCCAGGACCCCAAGACCCCCCCCAGGGGGGGGTTTTCCAAAACCCCCGGGACCCCAAACCTCCCCCAAGGGGGGGGGGTCCAAAAGCTCCGGGACCCCCCCCCCCCCCAGGGAGGGGTTTTCCAAAAGCCCCGGGACCCCAAACCCCCCCAAGGGGGGGGTCCAAAAACGCCCCCCCTCCCCCAGGGAAGGGTCCGATTTCGATCCGATCCGGCTTATCGAATCGATGTTGGGGCCGCCTGCCAGTGGAGTTCAGCGCCAACCAGATTGAAACAAGAGTTCGGCCTCCTTGGATGGTGCCATCTGAGCACATGCCGTCGATGTCGTGAGCTCCTGCATGGGAGGTCAGCGGAGCGGCACCCCACGCGAGCCAAAATTAGACCTCGCCTTTCTTGGGTGCTGCCACCCCACCTGCGCAAGTGTGGCCACTCTCGTGAGCTCCTGGGAGGTCCAGCGGAGTGGTGCCCCACGCGAGCCCACATTTGACCTCGCCCTCGCTGGGTGGTGCCCACTGCGCAACCGTTGTCAGTCTCGTGAGCTCCTGGGAGTTCCAGTGGAGCGGCTCCCCGCGCGAACCCAATCCACACCTCGCCCTCCCTGGGTGCTGCCAACTGTGCATCTGTGGTCACTTTCGTGAGCTACTGGGAGGTCCAGTTTCTGGCGAAGTGGTGCCTCACTCGGACACCAATTTGGCCTTGCCTTCCTTTGGCGGTGCCAACTGAGCAGCCGTCGGCCCTTTCGTGAGCTACGGGGAGGTCCAGCGGAGCGGTGCCCCTCGCGGACCCAAGTTAGATCTCACCATCCCTGGCTGAGCTCCTGCGAGGTCCAGCGGAGTTCCCCTGGTTGCTCTCGCAGAACAGAGAGCAACATAAACATACTTCTAGACGCTTTGCGGAACCCCACCAGCCCATCCATATACGATGCCCAGGTGGGTTGCCCTGATCAGGGATGTGGAGGAGCATGCAGTGGAACGAAGGGCTGGGGGATCAGTCATATGCCGGAGAAGGAGGAGGAGGAGGAGGAGGAGGAGGAGGAGGAGGGGGAGGTGGAGGAGAGGAGGAGGAGGAGGAGGAGGAGGAGGAGGGGGAGGTGGAGGAGGAGGGGTAGGAGTAGGAATCTATCAGCGGCAATCCGCGCGCGCGCGAGCACGCGCGTTGGCGATTGGCATTTGTGCGTCCAGTGTCGTATATCCGCTTGCGGATGTTCCCGTTTTCCGATCAGAGAATGGGCTTTTACATTTGGTCATCGCCATTGAATTTTGGAGTTCAACATCGCTCCCGTTGCATAAACATCAATCAGGGGCATGCCGCCGCCGCGCGCGCGCGGTGGCGATTGGCATTTGCGCATTCAGTGTCGTATATCCACGTGAGGGTGTTCCCGTCTTCAATACATTTTGACATTGGGTTTTCGCCATGAGGGTTGGAGTTCAACATGTCTCCCGTTGTATTCAAGCTATCAGCTGCATGAAGCCGCCGCGCGCGCGCGGTGTCGCTTGGCCGCTGTGCAATCAGCGTCGTATATCCACGCGGGGATGTTCCCGTCTTCCGATTAGAGAATGCATTTTTACATTGGGTTTTCGCCATTGGGTTTTGGAGTTCAACATCGCTCCCGTTGTTTGAAACCAATCAGCGGCATGCCGCCGCCGCGCGTTGGCGATTGGCATTTCTGCATTCTGGGCCGCATATCCACACGGGGATGTTCCCGTCTTCCGGTCAGAGAATGAATTGTCACACCGTGTCATCGCCATTGGGTTTTGGAGTTCAACATGTCCCCCGCTAGATCAAATTTACCAGCGGCCTGCCGCCGCGGCGCGCCGCGCGCTGTTGATTCGCATTCCTGCATTCTGTTCCCATCTTCCGATCAGAGAATGAATGTTTACATTGGTTTTTCGCCATTGGGTTTTGGAGTTCAACATGGTTCCCGTTGTATGACAATCTATCAGCGGCATGCCGCCGCGCGCGCGTGCGTTAGCGGCATTTGTGCATTCAGTGTCGCAGATCCACGTGGGGATGTTCCCGTTTTCCGATCAAAGAGTGAATTTTTCTATTTGGTTTCCGCCAGTGGGGTTCGGAGTTGAACATCGCCCCCGTTGTATAAAATCAACAAGCGGCGCGCCGCATTTGCGTATTCCGTGCCGCTTCGCAACCCAGACCGGGTGCGCGGTGCTCTGGGAGTGGTCCCTGAGCGCGGTCTCTATCCACGCTAGAGTCGCAGGGCGTGGCAGGCGTGGCCTGGCGCCAAGGGGGGGCGCGCAGGAACCTGCCTCTGCACGCGTGGCGCCAGGGCGGTCGCGGGGACGTATCCAGCGATCCAGTTTGCCCTGGCTCCCTTTTTGTTTCCCATAGGCGCGTTACAGCGCAGGGGGAAACAATGTTTCAAATTGTATCCCAAAAATATATGTTTCAAGCAGTTTGTATACATTTGCTGCTGATCATGATGACGACGACGATGATGATGGTGAACATGACTGTGATGATGCTGATGATGATGATGATGATGCTGGTGATGGTGACGGTGATGGTGACGGTGCTGATGATGCTGTCGACGGTGTCGACGACCACGATGATGATGCCGATGATAATAATAGTGGTGATGCTGGTGTTGCTGTTGTTGATGATGATGATGCTGATGATCATGCTGATTATGCTGGTGATGATGATGCTGATGATGACGACGACGACAACAATGACGATGACGATGAAGATGACGATGACGATGACGACTGTGATGATGAACCCCCCCAGCAAGGCCAGGAGGTACCCAAGGGCCCCCCAAGGGAAACCATCATATGCCCCCCGAAACATCCGAACACACTATTTCCCTAGAAATATTTTCGGGAACCTGTTTCTTATGTTTCCACCCCCCAGACCACCGGGAGGACGAGGACGAGAACGAGGGCGAAGTCGAGGAAGAGGAGGGCAAGGAGTAGGATGATGAGGAGCAGGCAGAGGGCGAGTGGGACGACAAGCGCTGCCCGCCGCGCACGCCGCGGCGCTCCCCGAGGGAGACGGGCGGGGAAACGGAATCGGACGGGAGGGAGGAATGGGGAGAGGAGGGGGGAGGAGGAAAAGGAAGAGGAGGATGAGGAGGGAGGAGGAGGAGGAGGAGGAGGAGGAGGAGGAGGAGGAGGAGGAGGAGGAGGAGGAGGAGGAGGAGGAGGAGGAGGAGAGGAGGAGGAGGAGGAGGAGGAGGAGGAGGAGGAGGAGGAGGAGGAGGAGGAAGAGGAACAGGGGGAGGACGCAGGCACGAGGCGGAGGCACCCTTGCGGAGGTCTACGGGTCGGAAGCCTCGGGGCGAGTGCCCGTTCCCCTCGCCCTGGGTACTCCCCCCCCCCAGCCGCTAGCCCGCGCACCACGGCCCCGCCAGGTGGGGTCCCCGCCCCTTCTTCAAAAAAGAAGAGGCCACATCGACATGAACTTTTGGCGCTCCGCGCGGATTTCTTGGATTGGCGGCTGGGCCCCCCTCGACGGCGCCTGCGGCGCCGCCCCTGGATCCAAAACATCCGAGCGTGCCTCCAAAAGTGTTATGTTCACGGGTTTCTGTTGCTCTTCTGCCTTCCGCCCGATTGGACCGTGGCAGCAGGCCGCGCAAGATTGTGCAGCATGTGCGAGTCTGGCTGATGATTCCTTGGAGCTCTGCGCCTGGAGGGGCCGATGCGTTGACTGCCTGTTTTCTCCCCCGCGCCGTCTGTGGGCCCGCCCCCGTGCGCACGGGGTGACTTGACTGGACTTGACCCTCTGCCCGCAGGGGCCCCGCGCCGCGGGGGGGCCCAGGGAGGAGCAGGGGTCCCCCAGGGGGCTGCCCGCGAGCGCACGGGGCGCGCCGCGTGCTGCAGGTGCGCAGCGAGTCCGGCCCAGCCGCTGGTGCAGGGCGGGAGGCTCGCTGGGGAAGCGGAGCCCACGTGGGGCCCCCAAGCGGGGCTCGCTTCGGTTCCTCCGACCCGCTCCGAGTCGACGTCGATGGCTCCCGGTGCCGATTCGAGTCGGCTTCGGGGGTTCCGCTGGGGGCTCCGCCGATCCGGCGTTTCCCGGCTCGGCTGCCGATGTGGGCCGATCCGATGTCGGCGGCGGACAAAAAGGGGGGTGATGACTAGGGGGGTGGATATCATGGCGCGGGCCATGAGAGTTCCCCAGATTTCATGGCGCCTCTTCTGATTCATTACGTCCCTGGCCCCCCCGCTGGGCCGCGCACATGGCGCCGGTCATGATTTGCACCCCCCCCTCTTGGACACCCCCCGCTTGGCCGCTTCCGACGATGCATGTCTATCGCCGATCCGGTTTATCGACTCGATGCTTGGGGCGCTTGCCTCAGACCGCCTGGAGGAACGACCATGCCAGGAGCGCGGAGCGCCAGAAGAACAGCGATGGCAGGACCCGAGGAGCCGCGAGCCCCTGCCGAAGCCGAACCGGCCTCTTGGCTACAGCCTCCCCCCCTCTGTGGGCCCCCCCAGACAGTCCCCTGGGCCCGCCGCGCTCGTGCGGCGGGCCGGCTCCGCTCGCGATGCCGACCCGCCAAGGTTGCCCCGAGCGGTTCCGTGAGAGGCTCCTTGCGGCGGGGGGCGAGGGGGGGGCAGAGCGAGAAGGGGCGGGCCTGCTCGGAAGGCTGGGGGGTCCCCCGGCCCTTCGAGGAGTTTTCTGGGCCTTCCCTTAAGTCGGGCCTGCCCCCCATACAGGGGGATTTTCGTCGGAGAAAAAATATACCCCCAAAATAGTGAAAAATAATCCAAAAATAGTATGGGGACTATGTTCTGCGTATTTTTTTGCCTTTTTGGGGCATTTTGGGGGTATGTTTTTTTCGTCGACAATCCCCCTGTAGGGGGACACCTCAGAAACGCAACTTCTCAGGAGGCGGCGGGGCTTCTCTGAGAAGCCCCGCCGCCTTCTGTCAAGGAAGGGAGAACCACCCGGACTTGACAGTTGGCGTTTACTCAACGGCCTTCAGCCCTGCCCTGTTAGATTTCTGTTTTGCGTGCGTTTAAGTGGACGGCTTCGCGTGTCGGGGTGGCTATCATCGGGGTGGATGTTCTGCCTCTATTCTGAGAAGGCCTTCTCCTTCTCACTTCCCCCCCTCGCTCGCCGCCGATCCTTTGTTTCGAGGCAGGAACCGGTGCAACTCGCTCGCGAGCGTGGACAAGTCCAGGCCTTCCAGATGAAGTCCATGTACAGGTCGAGCAGTGGCGAAGCGTCCTGGCTCGTCCATAGGCCCACCGCAAAGTGTCCTAAGAACCTGTTGTGGTCCGCACGAAGTGCTCTTAGAACATGTCTGGTGGAGACTTTTATGTTTTGACACATGGGTTTACGTTCTAGAGCATTGTTTTCTCTTAGAACATTTTCTGGTTCTAAGAATAGGTCGTGGTAGGCCTGTATGATTGCTGGGACGGTCGGTCCCTGCTCAAACAGGGGGTTCGGCGATGCGTTCGGCTCGATGTTGAGCCTGATCGTCTTCACGCCGACGTCTCTACTCTGACCCCATTTCCGAGGTATCTCGCACGAAGTCGGGCACGACGCTCTACAGGAGACAGATCCGAAAATTGGAAAAATAGTCTGGGGACGATTTTTCTACCATGTTTGATTATGCTTTTTGTATTCTCCATTTTTCTTCAAAATCCGCCTGTAGCAGGACATGCCCGGCCTAAATCTAGCAAGCGTGACTCGGACAAACCATCGGTGGCCTGCTCCACCGCCAGGCCGGCGAACTGCTCGGTGAGCTCGGGGTGGGCCTCGTGAGTGGCCTTGACGAGCCGCTCGTCCGACGACTTGGGGGTCGCGGGCTGCAGTTCTGGCGCAAAGGCCTCATGAGGAGTGAGCTTCTAACGGGGATTCATATCAAGGGCAACGTTAGGGCGGGGTAAGCTTGGGGGTCAAGCAGTGGCGAAGCCTCCTGGTTCGCCTATAGCCCTACCAAGCAATGTTCTAATAACCTTTTGAGGTTTCCACGAAGCGTTCTTAGAACATGTCTGGCGGAGCTTGCATTGTTTCAACACATCGGGTTCATGCTCTGAGAACCTGGTTGTTGTTCTTGGAACATGTGTGGGTTCTAAGAACAGTTCGTGGTAGGACTATAGGAATGCCGGGACGGTCGGTCCCTGGTCAAGTGGGTGGATGCAACGACCCATCGACCCCCCCAATCGCCCCCTGCTAGCCGTTCGGGGGCCCGGCAGCCCACCCCGCCCACGAGAGCGTGCGGCTTCTCTGCCGGGGGCCCATCGCAGCTCCGTCGGCGAGGCATCGCCGAGTAAGCTCGATGTTTGCCCCCCCCCCCCCCCCCCCCTCCCCCCCCCGAGCCTGTCGCGCTTATCGTGGCCCCTCAGAGGGAGGATGGAGGAGGAGGAGGAGGAGGAGGAGGAGGAGCGATGTTTGCCCCCCCTGTTCCTCCGCCCCCCCCTGACGTTGCCCCTCGTCCTTTCCTGCGCCCGTGCTGCCCCCCCGCCGCGGCGGCCTGGGCCGCTGCAGAGGCGGGACGACCACTGGAACGCCATCGCTTCCGGCTTCCTGACCGGCGGCGTGCTCGCCGCGCGAGGCGGCTGGAAGGCGGGCCTGCCGCCCGCGGCCCCCCTCCTCTGCACCACCCACCAAAACCACCCCACCCCAACCCGAAGGCGTCAATTTTCCCTCCATTTCCCGTGTGGGGGGTCGGGGACCATGTAACACACATATTTTTTGTTGTTGGTCGGCGGGTCGAGAGCGGGCCTCTTCCGGTCAAGAGCTAGGCGGGGCGCGCGAAGCACTCATTGGGGAGACAGGGCGCGGGCGGGCGGGGCCTCAGGCGGCATAGGCGATGCCGAAGAGCTTGCACAGGAAAAGGTACGCCTTGGACAGGAGCCGGGGGCGAGGGAACATGTAACACAAACACATACGGGAACATGTAACACAAACACATATGAAGCCCATACCCCCCCTCCCATCCCGAAGTTCGGGTCTTCGGGTTGGGTTGGAGCGGTCAGGCAGGTCGTCATCTCTCGGTCGTCGAGAGGGGGGATCGGCTCGTGGGCGAAGAAGAGAGATCCGTATCCACCGGTAGCAACTCATGGAAGCCAGGTGTATCTTTTTGATTCCGTCTTTAGCGTTGGGATCGGCACGTGGGCGAAGAGGAGAGATCTGTATCCACCGGTAGCAACTCATGGAAGCCAGGTGTACCCCTTTGATTCCGTCTGTCGCGTCGACCAGCGTCTGGAGTCGATGAGATAGCGTTGAGTTAACGTCGACTAGCGTCGATGTAGCGTCGGTTAGCGTCGATTCGCAAGAGCCGACGAGATGGTATGCGAGGCTGCTCCCATGCGCTGCCACCGAAGCATCCGCGGCCTCGCTGGCGGGGCCCCTCTTGGCCGCGCCCGCGGAGAGGCGGGTAACTATCGCTTCTGGTTCGCGGCTGCCCCGTGCGGCACGCCTCCTGGCGACGGCGCATCCGCGGGATGGCGCCCCGGCATCCAGTCTGCGAAGGGGTGGGTTGGGGGGGTGCCGCTTTTTTTAGCTCAGCATCAAAATCTTCAGCCATATATGCTAATTGTTCTTTGATATCTCTCACAATCTGTCTGCAGTATATGTTGAAGTACAAACAGTTTAATTTATGGCATTGTGCGTTTGTGGTTTGGGTGGTTGGTAGTCGTCGACTGATGGTTGTTTGTTGAAAAACAGAAAACAAAAAGGGTGCTCCTGGCCCAAGATGCCCCTGGCTTTTCGCTGAATGTTGGAGCCCCGGGGCGCACTTGGCCTCGCAAGGGGTGCCTGAAGGCCTTGGGGCCTCCTCGGGAATCATCCTGGGGGCGCCTTTGGCCAGGGGCACTTCTGGCCACACCCGATGGATGCGGATACGTTCGCCGCTCGCGATCCCGCTGTCGTCGAGGGGGGGGGATCGGCGCTGCCTGGGGGGGTCCTCCAAACGAGAGAGAGATCGGCTGAAGCAATAACCTGGCGGACATCCGAGTGTCCGTGCTCATGCAATTTCTTGTTCCCCTGCTCCTCGGATCGCCATCGCCCAGGCACCGCCGATCGGGGCGTGGGAGCCTCACAGTCGTCTGGGAGCGTGCGGCGTGGCCATCGTGGGCCCCATTGCGGATCCATCGGCGGTGCATCGTTGATTCCGGGTCGACGTTGTCTTCCTTGAGCCAGCCTTTCCCTTCGCACCGCTCCTCGCCTGTTGCCCCCAGAAGAGGTCCGAGGGCAGTATTTGAACACATGCACCGCCTGGGCCCGATCCCTTCTAGACCTCCTCCGTCCTCTCAGCCCCTCCCTCTTCCTGCTTCGCTCTCTCCTCTCACCCCCATCACTCCCTCCTTCTCTGCATCCATGCCCGCCTCCGCCCACACCTCGGCTTCATCCTGCTCTGCTCTCCCGAGCCCCCTTGCGCAGGGGTCGGGGTGGTGTGTGGTGTATTCACCTCTCCCCCCTCCACAGGATCTCACAGCCGTCTTCCTCCTCCACATCCCGCTTCCTCCAACTTCCCACATCCCTCTTCTTCCCCCATGCTCCTCCTCCGCGCCCCTCATCCGCTTCCCTCGGGTCGCCTCATGCTCCGCCCCCCTCAGCACACGCTGGCCCGTTCCAGCCCTCTCAACCTCGACATCCACTCCCCCCCTCCTCCAGCAGGACGAGGACCCGCCACCCCTGGAAGCTTGTCTCGCCCCGCCCCCCTGGCCCCGACCAGGGGCCCTCCCTGCTCTCCTCCTCCCCCTCCCCCGAGGGGCAGAGGAGGGAAGCCGGAGGCTCCTCCTCGAACGACGACGACCCCGCTCGCGAAGCAGGGCTGTGGGTCGAATAGCGTCTCCGTCGTTGGCCTGCGCGTTTTTCAGGCCTCTGGCCAGTACAGTGGAGACCCATGCCAAGAAACACCCTGCTTGCCTCCAGGGTGCCCTGGGTTTCTTGGGTTTCGATGGTTAGCATGACGCTCCCACACCAAAATTCGATGGGCGTCCTGGGGTCTCAGGGTTGGGTTTCTTGTGGCAGGTTTCTTGTGGTCGGGCCCCCACTGTACGCGTGCGGCTGGTCTTTGTCAGGTCAAAAGGCGGAGGCTCCTCCCCTCCACCCCGCCCAGAAGGGCGAACTGGGGACCTCTCCGCGCGCGGCGCCCGACCGCGCACGATCGAGGTGCCGATTCGGCCTAGCCGTGGCGACGAGGCGCCCCACCGATGGCGCAGGAGAGGGGCGAGCACCGCACCGCACCTCCTCGTCGTCGATCGGCCGCTGCCTCGCAGGTCGGTCGGGGTGTCGTCTGTGTCTCGCTCCCCCCTCGCCCCCTCCCTGCCCTGTGCTGCTCCGGCCTCTCTTGCCCCTCGCCGCCCACTCGTGGCCTCGTGCTGGTGCGTGGCCTCGTCGGGGGTTGCTCGCGTCTGCCGCTGCTGCTGCTGTCGTGATGGCTCGCTGCGCCCCCGGGCCACGCCCCCCCCCCCCCTCGCTTCCCCCCCCCCCTCCGCCTACCCTCCGCCACCGCCCAGGCGGCGAGCCGCAACGCTGTTATTGGCGCGCCGCCCCGCGCCGCCGCGCAGAGTTTGCAGCGGGCCCTGCGTCGAGCTGGAGGGAGGAGGAGGAGGAGGGGAAGGGGGGCCAGAGGCAATTTATTCGAGTACGAGATCGACTTGATGCACCCCAGACTCCATTTGCCGTCGGAACTATGAAACATACACAACATGCTCCGCATATAGATCGACATTATCTTTATGTTTCGTAGATTCGGCAAGGAACATTATGTGCACATGTATTATGTATTCGATCCCCTACTCAAGCTATAGGGGGTGACAGGCCCAGGGTGGATGCTTCGGCCCCGAATCGCCCATGCATCGCCGAGAGGGGCCTGATAGCCCACACCGCCCAGAAACCTGCGGATTCGCCATCGGGGGCCTCGCCGATCTATCTCCGATATATCGCCGATTCGAGTTCGATGTTTTCCCCCCTGAGCCGGACCCCCCTTTGTTGCCCCCCTGAGCCGGCCCCCCTGAGCCGGTCCCCGAGGAGGACGGAGAGGAGGAGGAGGAGGAGGAAGAGGAAGAGGAGGAGAAGGAGGAAGAGGAGAGGAGGAGGAGGAGGGAGGAGGAGGAGGAGAAGGAGGAGGAGAAGGAGGAGGAGGATGAGGAGGAAGAGGAGGAGGACCTGGCTTTTCGGGGCATGCTGGGGTCTGGTGAGGTGGACTGATCGGGGCGTGGCGGGCGAGGGGCCGCCGCGGTTGCGGCGGATTTGCAGTTTGACTTTGTGGTTGCGAATGGCCAGCGCTGCCAGTACAGTCGGGGCCCTGAAGAAGGAACCCTTTTCGTTGGGAAAGCGAGGGTGAACTTATGTTTTCGACAGGAATCGAAGGTTAATTTATGAAAAAAAAGGGGCCTCGTTCCTTATTTAGCGTTCCTCAGGTCAACGCCCCCACTGTACGGGTCGCTTTGATCGACCTGTTCGACCGTCGGTTCATTCGCATCTGTGTATTGTTGGGTCGCTGGCGTGCGACCGGTCCGATGATGTTCGGGGCGGGCTGGGAAGCATATCCCTCGTCTTTCCTCCTCTTCCGCCTCCCGCGTCCTCATCGTTCACGACGTTTTCGTTTCTCCCCCTCCCTGATTCATTGGCTTATGCCGCACCGCCGACCCCTTGGGGCGGCAGCAAGAGTGAAAGACGGAGTTCGCGGAACGCGCGCGATCGCTGGGCAGTCTTGATGTTTCGGCCTGTCTTACGTAGCGTGTGGGGTTCAATGGGGGGGCCTTTTAGGGGATTGTTTTAAAGTTTTTCGTGGTCTTCTGTGCCTTTATTGGAGCTTTCACGGGGCCTGTCCTAGGCCTCCTTTTCCACCCCCTGGATAGGCTCGGGGATCGTCAAGACCCAGCTGGGGGCGCGTCCGGCCAGAAGTTCGAGAGTGGACCCAGCTGTGTCGACCAGAAGCTTCCTGAAGGCCCAGAAGGGGCGGAGAGCGCCCAAGAATTAGGAGGCTCATGCCTCGAGCCTCGATCCTCCCCGTGTGCCTTCCTTTGCGACGGCGGCACCGGCCAGGAAGGTCGATCCTTATCCCGGACCCTCGGTGGTGGTCCCGGGAAACCGTTTCTTGGAGGCTGAATTCGAGGAGACGCCTTGGGTGGTCGAAAGACCACGAAAGTCTGTGAGACATCGGCCGCGACGACGAAATCTTTCTTTTTCCCCCTCTTCCTCCTCTTCCTTCTCGTCCTTCTCCTCTTCTTACTCATCTCGATCGAGGTAGATGCCCGCGGCAGTTCTGCCCGCCGTTCCCGAGGTTTTTGTGTGAACGGTGTCAGTCTTTGCTAGGTTTCGGTCTCCGCGGGCCGTTGCTGGGCCCCAGGGATTTCAAAACCAGACGGACCTGGGGCGAGGTTCGGGGAACTAACTTGTGCGGAGTAGCCCGTCGGACTCGGGAGGTCTGTTGTGGTTGGGGGCCACCCGTCGCCGCGGCTGGATGCATTTGGGGAAAGGGTTGCGACTGGAATTCCGGGAGGGGTCCGGGGGTTCACGGTGAACGAATTCTGCGTGGGGAGAAGAGAAGCATTGTGCTACAGAGTCTTGATCGTTTCAGTAGTTCCGTGCCGCCTCCGGGCCCCGGTCATCGTTCACGACGTTTTCGTCTCTTCTCCCCATCCCTGGTTCCCACACCGCAGTGCTCGGTAACAACGAACCCTTTACAGCGGGCAGAGCCTTCCGCCTCTTGGGCCCCTTGATACGACGTGGTGCCCCCAACGCTTTTTGCCAGTCCCCCTAGAATTAAGTCGGGCCTGTCCCTCTACAGGGGAAATATCCAAAGATAGTCAACCAAATAGTCTGGGGACTAGTTTTGAAGTATTTTCTTGTCATTTCGGAGCATTTTTTTTTTTTTTTTAATTCGTCGAGAATCACCCTGTGGGGGGATACGCCCGACATCACCCTAGAAGCGGCCGCCGCTGGGCGCCTGGCCACCTGTCATGGTCATCTCGTGCGGGGTGGGCGCGGGGCGGGCACGCGCCAGCGGGGGCGCCTGAGCGTTTTGCTGCTGCTGCTGCTGCTGCTGCTCCCCACTGCTCCTCCTCCTCAGGGGCAGCGTTGCACGCCGGCCGTTGGAAGTTGGTATTGTTGGATTCCCAGGTCCCGATCTACTTCAAGCGCCTTCCTGCTTCAAGAATCGGCATGCTTTTGCTGTGTTCTGTTATTCTCTGGGCGGGCCTGGACCCAATCCACTATGTCCGCATTCCTACTTTATGTTTTTACCTACTTCTTCCGACCAACGTGTAAGGGGGGACATGCTCAGGGGCGGATGCGTCGCCCCCGATCGCCCATTCATCGCCGATGGGGGCGCGATAGTCCAACTGGGCCATGACCATGCGGATTTGCTATCGGGTGTATATCGCCGATTTATCGGCGATGCACCGCCATTTCCAGCTCAAGGTTTCCCGCTGAGCCGTTCCCCCTTATCGCTCCCTTTCCGTGGCAAATCATGGGAGCCATGTGTGTATTCCCACTTCCGTCTTTCGAGTGGATTGCTGTTCGGTATCGCCTGGTAGTCGATGAGAAATGTTCGATGTAGGGTCGAGTCACGTCGACTCAGCGTCGACCAGCGTCGGTTCGCAAGAGCCAGCCAGATGACATGCATGAGCTGCCACCGAAGTTTCCCTCGCCGCACCTCTTGCCGGTGCTGGAGGAGGGGCAATGGGGCACAGGTGGAGTGCTGCTTGGCATCATCGAGGGCGTGGTGGCCCTGCTCATGAGGCCCGCCCATGCGCGCCGTCCACTCGTGGGGCAGGACGTGCGGAGGGTCGGGGGGCGGAGGCGGTGGGATCGGAAAAGGGGTCTGCGGAGGGAGTGCCATCTCGAGGACACACCGGTGAGCACGGGTAACCTTCCCCAGGGGGTATCCTCGCGTCCGCGCCTCTTTGGTCTATCCCTGACCACTGTCGATGGCCCGCCTCGCTCGAAAGGCTTCGGCATGGGCGTCCAAGGGGCTTGCACACGTATCGCGCGTCCTTGCTATCAACTTTGACTGTACCATCCCGAGGCAAGGAAGCACAAATAATCGATCAGGACCCGTGGATTCGCGACGGGTCCCGCATCCATGCAGAATCGACGCGCTCCGCCACCATCTCGGGCGGCATTGGCCCCTACCCTGGTCCATTCAGCTGGCGGCCGCACACCAGATCCACGCATCCCCAGTCTATCCTCCTCCTCCTCCTCCTCCTCCTCTTCCTCCTCCTCCTCCTCCTCTCCCTCCTTCTCCGCCTCCTCCTCCTCCTCACAAGAGGCGCGAAAACGCGCGCCACCCCAGCCCTTTCCGCGTCGTGACAACAATAAACAGCGGACAATGTTTTGCAGCCTTTCCTCCACCAGAGTGCCCGTCGGTCGGAAGAAGTCGGCCGTGGCACGTAGATTAGGCTTCTGCCCGCCCCCAGAAGAGGAGGGACGAGAGGCCAAAACGGCGCCCAGGAATTGGAGGAAACATGGGAATCCCCAAAAAGAAACTTCCAAAGATCCATGGTCGGGAATCTTAGAATTCGGGCGGCCTCTCGACACGAGCAGCTCGCTGCAGAGACTGTCTCGGAGGAGGAGGGCTCCAGCCAGGGGCAACGACAGGGGGGGATAGGCATAGGGAGGGAAGCATCGACCCCCAATCGCCCATTGATCGCCAATAGGGGTCTGGGGGCCTATCGCCGATCTATCGGAGGTGTCTCGCCGATTCCAGGTCGATGCATCACTACCTATGCCAGTCCCCCCCTGTCGTTGCCCCCCATCCATGATGCAGGGGTCCTTGAGGGTTCGGGTAGCCTGGAGGCTGAGCTGACTCGCTAACCCAGCCTTTGCCATCCCCTCCCCCTCCTTGTCGTCCACCCGGGCGTTTGTCCCAAATCCCACATGGGCTCCCCCCGCGGCGACACCGACAACGAGGCTTGTTCAAGAAATGGTTGAGTACCGCTGTCGGTCTTCGTGCCCACTCTTCCCGTGGACTCGGGGGGTAGAAACGACGACCTGGAATCGGGGATGCCTGGGCCCTGTCTGTCGGAGGGAGGAGAGGTGACACCACAACCACCACCGGCGTGATGCCTTCAGCGAGGATGTCCCACGGGTCCAGCGAGGAGGTCCCCCGAGTTTGAAGTCGGAGGTGTCTCGAGCGGGTCGCCGCAAATCAGGGGGACCCAGGAGGATCTCTCTTCCCTTCGTGCGGCCTCCTGCCTCTGCTCCCCTCCGCACCGCCACAGAGACACGCATGAACATCCATCGCCGCGTTGTGCAGCCCGCACGGGCTCCTCGCGACGGTGGTCCGCACGACACACGACAGTGCAAGCATAATTTTGCAGAGGTTCGCGCGGATACAGTCGTGGCGCTGAAGAAGGAACCCTTTTCGCTGGGGAGGGGCTCGGCGTTCCTTGATTGTTTCAAAGTTTGCCTCGGGTTTCCTGGGTTTTCCATAGGAAATCGAGGTTGAACTTATGGGAAAAAGGGGCCTCGTTCCTTATTTAGGGTTCCACAGGTCAACGCCTCGACTGTATCTTGTGTCGGCCTCGGGCTCACCTGGTCGGCGCCTCCGCGCCGCCCATGGCGCGCGCAGCGCGCCATGGCTGGGGGGTGGGGCCGTATCTCCGACCTAAGGGGCCACTGCCGTGTGTTTCGTGTTCCTGCCCCGAAGTCAGTTGTGCGTTCTGGGCCCAAGCGGAGAGTTCCGTCGAGTGCCAGGTCAGCTCCAGATTACCAGCCTGGAACATATCCCTATCCCTTTGCTGGGCACCTCCTCGTCACGATGCCGATCTTAGGGATTCCCTTATTTTTCGAGGGCGAATCCCTAAGATTGTCATCGCCTTTTGGCGTGTCAATCTTAGGGATAGGGATTCGTTCGAGGCTGGTAAGCAGAGGTTGACTTTGGGTCGCCCCGAGACGGCCCATCATCTTGTTCTATCAAATTGGAAATCCCGTCGTTCTAACGTCGGCCAGCCCCTTGCGAGAACAAGGAGGATGGGTAGGTGGGATATGGGAGGAGGAGGGAGGAGCGCAGGAGGCAAGAGGGAGGCAGGGTGGGCGAGAGGGGATGGAGAGGGGGTCGGGGTTGAGGAGGGAGGGAAGCGGAGTATGAGGAGGATGGGGGAATCTTTGCCCCCGCATTGTTTGACTTTTGCGAGCCCCAGCCCCATCTCTGTGAGGATTCGCTGCACCCCCCGTCTGATGATCTCTCACACGGATGCACCCCCTGCTGAGAAGGGAGGACAAGGAGGAGGAGGAGGAGGAGGAGGAGGAGGAGGAGGAGCAGAGGAGTACCCTGGAGGTCTCCGGAGGTCCCCCGAAGCTTCTGCATGCTTTCGGGTGATGGATACTTTTTCGATGGCCCTCACCCGGCGGAGAGCGCCCAGCAGGGCCGACGGGCGCCGCTGCTCCCGGGCAGCGATCGGCGCGGCTCGAGGGCCCTGTGCACAAGTGGCGGCGGGAGCGAGCAGCGCAAGGAAGCGAGCAGAAAGTACAGCAGAGACAGGAAGGGAGGAGGGGGAGGAGGAGGAGGAGGAGGAGGAGGAGGAGGAGGAGGAGGAGGAGGAGGAATGGGAGGAGGAGGAGAAGGAGGAGGAGGAGGAGGAGGAGGAGAGAAGAGGAGGGGCGAACTGAGATGGATGGGATCGGTGGTCACCGGAGACGCTCTGCGCGGGGCCCAGGCCAGAGAGAAGCGTGGGCCGGCGATCCTCGAGCCTCGGAAATTTGCCTCTCCGCCCATTCTCTCCGCGGCGCGAGCTCGTGCTCCCCCGAGGTCCACGTCGAAGACCCCGCGGGAGATGGCGCTGGAGCAGATGGAGCAGGAGAAGCAGATGGCGGAGCCTCTCCGCGCCCCCCTCCTCCCATCGGAGGCGGATAGACCTCCTGCCTTGACGCGTCGATGAAGGAATTGGCCGTTTTCGGTTCGCGAGAGGGCGTCGCGGCCGTCACGTTTGCGGGTCCAGGTCCGTCGGCTTCGCTCCCAGGCCGTTCTCGTTGAGGGGAGGTTTACTAAGGGGAGGTTTGCCCACCGCCGCTCCCAGCGGCCGGGCCAGAGCCCTGTTCACGGGCCTGCGCAGCTTGCCCTGCCTTTTTTCTGCGGCCCGTGCACCTCCCCCGAGCTGGGGCCTTTCTCTGGGGAGGGCGGCTCCGGGGAAGCGCGGCCGCCCCAGGGATTTTGGCTGTCGCTTCCTCTCTCGGGCCTGCCGTCGTTCCTTCTCCTCCCTCCCCCTTCTGCATTCAGGGGGGGAGGTAAAACAGGGCTAGGATCGGCATAAATCGCTCCAGAGCGTTCCGGAGCGCTCTCAGAGCGTTCCGGAACGCTCTGGAGCGGCAGCGGCGCCCAGTACATCCTCCAAACCCGCCGATTCTCAGAGATTTCGAGTTATCCCGATCCGATTTTGTCCCGATCTTCGCGTCGTTTTAGGAGGAGCTCGTCTCCTCCCTCCGCTCCTCCTCCTCGCGATGGAGCAGGAGGAGCGAGAGAAGCAGGCGGCGGAGCGGGGGGAAGAAGGATGACCGCGGTACTATGCCTGCCACCGTCGCCCCGCACAGCGTACTTCGAAAGGAAAGCAAATTCTTGACGCTTCGCGTATCCCCACCAGCGGCCGCAGCCCGACCGTGACCGCCTGCCGCTGGCGCTTCCGCCTGCGGCTGTAAAAAAAAGAAGAAAAGTATCCCCACCAGCCCATCCAAAAACGATGCCCAGGCGAATTGCGGTGATCAGGGAAGTGAGGGAGCATACAGAGTAGCAAAGGGCTGGGGGACCCGTCTTACCCAAGAGGGCGAGGATGGAGGAGGAGTCGGAGGAGGATGAGGAGGAGGAGGAGGAGGAGGAGGAGGGGGAAAAGGCGGATGATGAGGAGGAGGGGGAGGAGGAGGAGGATGAGGAGGGGGAGGAAGAGAAGAGGAAAGGAGGAGGAGGATGAGGCTGATAAAGTGGAGCAGAAGGAGGAGGAGTAGGCCGACAAGGAGGAGGAGGAGGAGGATGAGAAAGATGAGAAGGAACAAGAACAATGACGTGCACAAGAGCCTCCTAGGATGTCCCTTGGAAGTTGTTTTGGAGTCCTCTTGGAGCGCCTGGGGGATTCTTGGATGCCTCGGGGATCCTCTTGAGGCCTCTTGGGGGTCTAGGGAGCCTCTTGAGGGCCTCTTGGGGACCTCTTGGGGCCTCCTGGGCGCCTCTTGAGGCCCTCTTGGGGCGCTCTTGGGAGCCTTGGGAGCGCTCTTGGGGCCATCTTGGAGGTGATCGATCAAAGGAAGGGGGTCCCCCAATTAGCGTCCCCCCTCGGGAGCCTCTAAAATCGGCCAAAACCCTAGTAAAACCAATGATTTTGGCTTCCTCGCCGAGGCCGTCTTGGACGCTCCAACTACCAGCGAAACCCCCCGTCCAGGTCCAGGGGAGGGGGTTAGGGGGAGGGGTAACCTCCTCCCCGAAGGGGAAGAAGGGAAGATGGAAGAGGAAACTCCCTGAACCACCTACGCCCAGAGGGCTGGTGGGATTTGTAAATCTGATATTTCGACGCTCCGCGCGGTTTTCTTGGATCGGCGCATGGGCCCCCATGGCGCAGCCTCCGGCGCCGATGCTGGCGCGCACCCCGCGCCAGGGAAGGGGGTTCACCGCAGATCCAAGCAATCTGCGCGGATCGCCAAAAGTTCATGTTTATGTTGTTTCCTTCTAGTAGTGGATATTGCTCGGGATGCGTTTGCGAGTGTGAGACGTGCATACCGCATGCCTCAGCTTATTCAGAGCGTGAGTTACCTACCCCGCTCTCGATTCCAAACAAAACCATGTCATTCCACGCGCCTCATCGTCACGCGGCCTCACTGGTGCGGGCCGTAGCTTCGCATGCTTTGGTATCTCTTGGAAGCGAGGGTGGTCAAAAGCGAGGTAGGTCCGTCTGCCTCCCACTCATATATTATCTCTCGGTCTATCTATAGATATATATACATGTAAATCTATGTATATATATATATATAGATGTAGATATGTGCGGTTCCAGCGCAGGGGCTCAGGGCTTGGATGTGTGAAGGGAGAGATGCGCCAGTGTTTAGCGCAAGGGAGGTTTCGCGTTTCTGCCAGAGCGTGCCTCAGCCGGATGACTGTTCCCGTCAACGTCCATGCAATGGGATGGCGGCAATGACGTGCCGCGGGGTGTCCGCCGTTCGGTCTGCGGTGCAGTCGATTGCATTCGTCAGGTTTGGTTCGGTCGGGTGCGTTGCTGCAGTGGCGCGCTCCGCTACAGGCCCTATTGTTTCGGTCGGTTCAAGTTTCATTGTCGGCTCGGTCGGTTTATGCAACTAGTAGTGCGGGGGGCCCGCTACTGTCGCATCGCATCCAGCGATCAGAATGCCGCGCACCAATGGTCACACTATTGCGCGTAGCTGGTTCTCGAACTTGCCTGCACCTCTTGAGCCGAGCATGTCGCCACGGCAGCGCGTGATTGCACATACTCTGCACGAGTAGCTGAAGGCGTGCACCCGTGCATGTATACACGACGTGTACTTGCTTGTTTTAGCAAGCCGCAGCCACCGAGGCGATCCCATGGGCCATTTGACACGTCCTGGAGTTGGGCGGAAAATACGGCGCAGTCACGGCTTGAGAGTTCTTGGCCAACCAGGAGGGGAAACAATACACAGGCACAATTAATCGGCGATTCCCATGAAAATATTGGAAAATATGGGGAGTGGGGGAGAAGACGAAGACCCAGATAATATTGGAATCTATGGGGAATCTTGGGATTTGTGAGTGTTTATGTGTGTGCCCTTGGACCCCTTCAGTCAAGGGAGGAAAAACAACCCAGTCCCGATAATTGGCGTCAACTTACCAGCCTTGGGAGTTTATTAGACAGCCCTGCCCTGTTCGAGTCCTTCTGTGGGTACGTTTGCCAAAGCGGCTTCGCGTTTCGGGGTGATTGTTGTGAGGATGGATGTAGATGTTCTGCTTTCTGCTCGGGTTTCATCGTATCCTCATGGAGCCGCAACCGCGAGCAACCTCAAGGGAACTCCCGAGTCGACCTGGCAGAACCCAGCGGCAATCTGCGACGGTTGATCCTCGAGCGCGATTGGAACCTAAGCGCGCGCGAAGCGCGCGCGTGGTTCTAGTCCTGATGGAGCCCCGCCCTGTCTCTCGGCGACTACACGGGTATGGTTACGCCGGGGTGTGGTTTGCAATCGGCAGCGTTGGAGCTTGGGGAGCACGACGCTGACCTCGTCGGGCCTCCTCGGGGCGCGGCGGGCAGCCCTGACGAGGTCACAGCCCGCCCCCCGGATGCCCCCCCAGGGTGCCGGTTGCAAGCCACACCCTTGGCGAACAGAACCCCCAACAGTGACACGTCGATTGAGGAATTGGCCGTTTTCGGTTCGCGAGAGGGCGTCGCGGCCGTCATTTTTGCGGGTCCAGGTCCGTCGGTTTCGGTCCCAGGCCGTTTTCACTAAGGGGAGGTTTACTTAAAGGGAGGTTTGTCCATTGCCGAACCCTTTGCGAACCATACTTCCCAGAGTCGCCACATCTCGCGCCTGCCACCTCTCGCGGGCCCGCGGGGCCCGCGCGACCGCGCCGCGAGGGCGCCTGGCCGCCCCGGTGCCTGTCGGCCTCGGCCCTCTCTGGGTTCCGGCCCGTCGTGGCGGGGGCCCCCTGCCCCGCTCGGTGGGAGCGGGGGCCAGCTGGAAGTTGGACCTTACCAGTTTGAAACATATCCCCATCCCTGTGTTTGGCATCGCCTCACCTCAGAGCCCCGAATCATCAGGGGTAACTCGGGTCAGGGTTAACTCGGGTTCGTGTTTCGGGAATCCAAACCCGAGTTACCCCGGGCCCGATTTACCCCGGATAACTCGGGCGTCCAGAGCCCCACATCATCAGGGGTAACTCGGGTCAGGGCTAACTCGGGTTCCTTTTCCGGGAATCCAAACCCGAGTTACCCCGGACCCGAGTTACCCCGGATAATTCGGGCGCCCAATATCCCCATCCTTGTGTTTGGCATCGCCTCACCTCGATGCCGATCGTGACGATTCCCTCCGTTTCTGATTCACATCCCTAAGCTTGGTCTCGCTTTTTGCTCGCCCATCTCAGGGATAGAGATAAGAAGTTCGAGGTTGGTTCAGTCTGCCCCCTGGGCGTAAACTTCAGGGGCAACGAGAGGGGGGATAGGCATAGGGGGGGGATGCATCGATCCCCAATCTTCCATCCATCGCCGATAAGGGGTAATTATGATAGCCCCCCCCCCGGGAAGGTGCGGATTCGCCATCGGGGGCCGAATTCGGCGATGTGCCGCCGATCCCAGGTCGATGCGTCCCCTCCTACCCCTTCCCCCCGTATCGTTTCGGGGGCGGGCAGACCTCCTGCCCTGACACGTCGATTAGCGGATTGGCCTTTTTCGGTTCGCGGGGGGGCGTCGCGGCCGTCCTTTTTGCAGGTCCGGGTCCGTCGGCTTCGGTCCCAGGCCGTCTTCACTGAGGGGAGGTCTACTCAAAGGGAGGTTTGTCCACCGCCGGAGGTCGATGCACATCCCCTCGCATCCCGTCCCCCCCTGTCGTTGCCCCCCCACCTCTGGGCTCCGACCCGTGGCAGGCCTCGGCCTCCTGCCCCGCTCGGGGGAGCGGGGACTGGCCGGAGGTCGGACCGCCCTCTGGGAGCGGGGGCTGGGCGCAGACTGTCGGGCGGGTGGCAGCGGGCGGTGGAGAGGGCCAAGAGAAGGGCCATAAGAAAGGGGCCAAGAAAAGGGCCATAAAAAAAGGGGCCCTAGAGGGGCCCTTGAGGGCCATAAAAAGGCCCTAGAGGGCCCCTTTGGGAGCCATGAGTCATGAGGGGGTCGTGTCGCCATAAGGGGGCCCCTGGTGGTGAGGAAAAGGGTCATAAAAGGGGCCCTTTGGGGCCCCTGTGGGAGCCAGTGGGTGCCCAACTGGGGCCCCACAGGGCCCCTTTGGGGCCCTCTTTTTTGGCCCCCCCTTTGGGACAACCCCCCCCCCGTGAGCACCGCAGGTGCGGTCAGGTTACCCGGACCCCCGACGTCGTGACTTTTGTCACCACTGCGACTGTCATTGCGAATGCGACTGCGACTGCGAGAACAGCAGAATTCTACAACTGGATTCTCACCTGAATCTTAAGGGGAATGCTTCCAGATATGTTTATACACATCGCTGTTAGGTTACAACGTCGACCCGCAGAGGCCTGGACCCGTTCCCCGGGGCTGGTTTTTCATCCTGACCCGTTTCTTGACGGTCCCGGGTTCCGGTGAGGGCCTTGGGAGGCCGAAAACAGGGAAAATCCGGCCGTCGTGATTTTTGTTTCACATCGCGAGAGGGTCTGGGTGCGAACACTCCCAGGATGCTCAAACGCCCCCGGATGTGCACGACCTCCGGGAGGCTCAGAGCCCCAGGGGTGGGTGGGAGCGCCCGGGGGTGTCTACGAACTCTCAGACATTTTCTATATCTTCTTCGGAGTCTCATCAGGAATCTTTCGAAACCTTCTCAGGATGTTTGTTGGGGGGGGGGACTCCTCAGGACCCCTTTGGATCCTCAGGAATCCCTTCTAGGAGTCTTCCGCAATCTTCAGGAAGCTTTGTTCACGTACCCGTGAAAATCCTTCAGGAAGCCTTCAAGAATCCTCCATGCAGAAGTGTTTCCCTACAAGCAGGCAGGAGACCCACCCCCAACACCCACAGGCAGACCCAGCCCCGCTCCCACAGGGGAGGGGGACCCCCCCCCCTCAACCAGAGGGGGGCGGTAGGGGTCGTCGGCCTCGTCGGCCGCACCCGGCGCGCCCGGTAGGAAACGTTCTGGGAAAGGGGGGGGAGGAGGGGGGTCGGGTCGTCTGCGGGCGGCCCCCGCTCTTCGACTGGTGCGGAACCCCTGGGGATTTTTGAGGGGGGCCCGTGCCACGGGGGGCCGCTCACACGTGTACACCACGTCGCTTAGCCGGCCAGGGAGCCAAGGAGTCAGGCGACGGATTCGGTGTATAGACGCTCCAGCGTCCCACAAGTGGTGCAGCTGGGGCGCCCATACCCCGAGCTCCTTGGCCGGCCAAGCGACGTGGTGTATGCATCATGCCCCTCCCATCCTAGGTCTTGGAGATTTTTCAGGGGTTCTGGACATCGAGAAGGCTTGCAGTCGCTACGGTCGGGTGCGCCTCGCAGTTCTGGCCAGAAGGAGCCCTGGACAAGTCCAGGGGTGTTTTGTTGTCTTCTGGGCTCACACGTCTAGTGTCATGTAAAATCGCGACGGCCGAGTGATTCCTTAATTTGGGCCTCTAGATGCTTTCCTGGTCTTGAGACCTGAAAACCATCCTGGGAGATGGAGGGAAGATGCCAGGGGGCCACGCAACGAAATCGCATTGACGTTGGGTCTATGGGATTGAGGCCAGCCAGGGTCGCAAAGTTGGCCTCGGTGTTAGTCAGCCGGGGAAGGGCCAGCGAAGAGGGAGGAGAGGGTTTGCTCTTCGCCTAATCTTTCATGGTGCTCTTGCAGTCTGTGTCTGTGTTTCGGTCTTGGTGATACTGCGCGTTCTCCATCCCTTGCGGACATGTGCACTTCGGGCTTGCGAATCGTTTGCGGCGTGCCTCAACACATCACAGGAGATGAGCAGCCCAGCTCGAGTTCACAGGAGATCCGCGACTACGTCCGTGCTGCGCCCATTTTCCCGCTTGCTGACCTTGGTTTACCGGCGCCTGCCCCCAGCCAAGGAGTACAACAAGAGAAAGGACGCGGGCGAGCTGAGCCCGGCCCAGAGCTGGCTCCAGTGCCGCCGCGCCGCCGAGTCTAGGATATGCTTGGGGTGCGTAGCAGGCTTACGTCGGGCGTGTCCCCCTACAGAAAACAGATTCACAACTAGCAAAAAATAGGATGGGGGCGACTTTTCTGTGTTTTGAGTATTTTCCATTTTCCGTCTAGAATGCGCCTGTATGGGGACATGCCTGACCTAATAGTAGGCACGATGGGTTCGCGTCTTTCGCCGCGGCAACGGCCGATCTCGAGCGGGTTGCGATTATGGAGTGCCCCGATCATTCAACAGGTCAGACTCTAAAGCGCCCGTCATTAGTAGAGACCTCAGTGGAGATCCTGTCGCGTGTGCCCCAGACAGTTCAAATGCCACTGAGCTGTTTGCCGAGGCCATGACTCCATAGTTGAGGCCCTATGGGCAGTCACACCCGCTGCAAGCTCGGCACACAGGGGCCTTCGGCACATGTGGCCAAGCAAGGCGTGGAAGCTGTGGGCGAGACGGCAACACAAGACAGCAGTCAACCCGAATGGTGTCCGCATTTTGATGTCGCACGGCCTGTCGTCTCAAGAACCCAAACGTATGCAATCTTCAAAGTTTCCACCGTCCAGCTGTTTGCGGCAATCCGTCACCGTGCCAGCGAGGCACTCTGTGTCGCGTGTGGCGACACTTCTATCACCGCATGGAGGACCGTCACATGTGACTCGTCTCGTCTCGACTTCTCCAAGAACTATCACAGGGCTTATTCGGGACGTCTTTGGGCTGTCTTGGGCACCTCCTGGGCAGTCTTGCGGGTCCCGCCGGGGGGGGGGGGGGGGCACCTTCGCCGTCTTGAGATTATCTTGGCCGTTCGGGGGGTCTCTTGGGACCGCATTGGGGCCGTCTTCGGCCGTCTGGGGGCCCTCTTGGGCAGTCTTGGCTCCCCCTGGAGTCCAGCTTGGGGTCCGTTTGCGGCCGTCCTGGGCAGTCTGTATGGCCTTTTTGTGTCTCTCAGTGGGCACTTCTGGGGCGATATTCGACCGAGGAGCACGGATAACGAGGCGCATTTCCGGTTTGCGTATCCCCACCAGTCCGTTCGAAGGTGAATCCAAACCGTGAGTGAACATTCGCTTAACAGTGAGTGGGCATTCGCTTAACCGTGAGTGATTGAGTGCACGCTGTGAGTGCACGCTGTGAGAGCACGGTGTGAGTGCACGCTGTGTTGAGTGCACGCTGTGAGTGCACGCTGTGTTGACTCCACGCTGTGAGTTCACGCTGTGAGTGCACGCTGTGAGCCCACGCTGTGAGTGCACGCTGTGAGCGCACGCTGCGAGCGCAGACTGTGCGAGCTGGCTCATCAGCTCAGCGAGCCCTCGACGCCGCGTGCACTCACAGCGTGCACTCGCAGCGTGCACTCACAGCGTGCGCTCACCGCAGCGTGCACTCACAGCGTGCGCTCACAGCGTGCGTGCGCTCACAGCGTGCGCTCACCACTGCGTGGGCTCACAGCGTGCACTCACAGCGTGCGCTCACAGCGTGCGCTCACCACAGCGTGCACTCACAGCGTGCGCTCACCACAGCGTGCACTCACAGCGTGCACTCAATAAGTCACGGTTAAGCGAATTCTCACTCACGGTTAAGATCTAAGCTTGTCCGTTCTGAAACGTTGCCATTGAGAGTTGACGCGAAAATAGACGAAGACACACGTATAGTGAAATACAGCGGGCAACCAGGATGAACAGAGTTATTTTTGGGAGCAAGGGGGTGGCATCGGAGGGCCTCTTCGGGCCACCCCTTGGGCCCGCGGGAAGGGGGGGGGACGATAAAGATGAGGAGGAGGAGGAGGAGGAGGCAACCCGACTCTTGGGGCCCTCGTGGGACGTTCTTGGGGCCCTCTTGGGGGTCTGTCGGGGCCCTCACAGGAGCAATGTAAGGCCTCTTGGGGCCATCTTGTGGGGCGTCGATCCAAGGAGGGTGGTCCCCGATGTCGGTCCCCCCCTCCCGTGGACCATCGAAGTCGCCTCTTGGGGCTCTCTTGGGCCGCTCCTGGGCGCCATTGGGGCCGTCAGGGGGGGCCTCTTGGGCCCCTTCTTGGGACTCTCTTGGGCCATCTTGGCTACACTTTGAGGCCTTAACAGCGCAATCACAACAAAACAACATACAAACAAAGAGGCCTCAAAAGCGCATCGGAGGAGAACAAGCGAGAAGGCACGTGCTCTTGATGTTGCTGAGATGTTTGAGGGAGTTTGGCATCTCGGGAGGGGATCCTGGTGGAGGGTTTGTCCGAAGGGCTTAGGCGACCCGTCCTCCCCCTCCTCCTCCACCTCCTCCCCCTCCCCCTCCTCCCCCCCCTCCCTCCTCCTCCTCCTCCTCCTCCTCCTCCTCCTCCTCCTCCTCCTCCTCCTCCTCCTCCTCCTCCTCCTCCGCTCCTCATCAGGGGCACCCAGCGCTGGCAGCACAGCAGGCTGCTGCGACACATGTCCACGTCCGACGGCAGCGAGGCCGTCTGGCATCGTGCGCTCAGGAATGGAGTGCGCAGTATCGCGCGCCCGGAGCAGTTGGGAGCGCTCTCCGCGGTCTGGGCCAGTGTCGTTCCTCTCCCTGCTGCTCGTGCTGCCCAGGGATACCTAGTAGCGCCCCACTGCCGAGTCGGTCAGCACGAGAACGGCACCTGCGCCACACCTGGTGCCAAGGCGCCGGGCTGATCGATGGAGACCAGGGCCCCTATTTGGGAGTCAGTGTCCGAACTTTTCGGAGCCATCGCCAGGCCCTACGTCAGGCTAGCCTTGACATCACGGCGCATCCGCAGGTCGACACTACGTATCTGATGTGTGTATGTGTGTGTGTGTGCCCCCCCTCGCTTCCCAGGATCATGATCGCTCGGGCCCCCCAACTCAATCCTGCTGGTGGTGAGTGGGGGGGGGCGTTCGAGGAGTTTGGGGGGCCTGATGTGTTCGTGGACGGCAGCTGCCTGCAGTCTAGCAATCTCGAGGCTGCTCGCGCAGGGTGGGCGGCCGTCCAGCTCCTGCCGTCGCTCCTGCCGTGCCGTGCCGTCTTCGGAGCTCTTTCTGGCCAGTTTCAGATGATCGGGCGTGCCGAGAGACCTGTGGGCTGGGTAGATAATATCTGGGCGGGTTCCTTCGCGAGAATCGGTTCGGCTGCCCATGCTTTTTCAGAAGGTTTTGCCAAGGCCCTGGCGGGGGAAGCCACATATCATAAGCCAGCCATTCAATTCAGCGCCTGGGCCGTCCAACAGATGGCGCAGAGGGGTGAATGGACAGGTGATTTGCCAGCGGAACCCGTTTTGAACCCGAGCCATGTTGCCGTCCCCAAGGTTCAGACCACCAGTCATGCCATGTGGCGAAGTGATGTCAGAGGCGAGTGAAGGTGCAAGTCTTGCGGCCGTGTCGTCCGCAACGAAGCTTCCTTCAAAGCCCTGCTCACCAACCGTGTCACGCGTCAGTGTGAACCAACACCTGTACAAGTTGCTGCCACCACTGAGTGGTTCAGATTGCATGACCAGTCCTACACTGTCATGAGGAGTGAAGCTGAGAGTGTGGCTTGTGGGCTGGCCGAGGTCCTGGCCCTGGAGGAGGAGGAGTCCCATGGTGGCTGCCCCCCCTTGGCGCCCCCCCCCCCCCCCCGATCCCGCCTCTGACCCCCTCGTTCCTTTCAAGGACCTTGGCCACGACCCCTTCTTAGTTGGCCCCGTTTTCGTGCGCAGGAGGTGCAGCGCGCACGGCACTTCAGGCTCGATCCGTAAGTTGTTCGTGGCGTGTAAGGGACCGAGCAGCGTGCCCTCCACGCTGGCCAACCAGCGGTCCATGGTCAGGCGCGCGGAGCATGGCCTGCACCCCAAGGCGGGGCAGAAGATCATATTTTGCGGAGGGGGAGCGCCAAGATGGTGCGCCTCTACGCCGTCGGGCTCTGGCGCGGGCGCGAGCCTTCCTGGCGCTGTCGAGAGCCAAGATAATCGCGCCCGCGGGTCCCAGCGTTGAGCATTTTTTTCGGCCCTGCCTTCTTTCGTCGTGGTCGCCCGTCGCCCTCCTCCCCCCCCATCTACTACGTCGGTTGCGCTTTGGAGAGCGGGAATCAGGCGCGGCCGCGTGGAGGCAGGGACCTTTTATCTTTCCCCAGCCGAGCTCTCTAGCGCTGTGGCTGCCATCTTACGAACTGCAGTCGAGCCTCGGCTCTTCTGGGAGGCGCAACGGTCTTGCCCTCCTCCTCTTCCATCTCCTCCTCCATTTCCTCCTCCCCCTCCTTCTCCCCATCCTCCTCCCCCTCCCCCTCTCCCTTTTCATCCTCCTCCTCCTCCTCCTCTCCCTCCTCCTCCTCCTCCTCCTCCTCCTCCTCCTCCTCCTCCTCCTCCTTCCCATCCTGTTTTTCCTCCTCCTCCTCCTCCTGCTCCTGCTCCTGCTCCTCAGCCTCCTCCTCCTCCTCCTCCTCCTCCTCCTCCTCCTCCTCCTCCTCGGGTCGCCTGTGGCCCCGGGGGAAACCGCGCAGGTCCTGGGGGACTTCCGAGGGCACTTGGAATCGTCTTGTGGCCCTCATTGGGCCTCTTCGAAGCATGCTGGGAAGCATCTTAGGCCACCTTGGGTCATGTCGAGCCATCGTCTGGAGGCCATCCTGGAGCATCGGGCGCCCTCTTGGACCCACCTTCGGGCGAACAGGGACCTTCTGACACATCGCAGCCCGCCCCGAAACAGCGGGAAGAGGGTTTTGGAATGAGGAACGACAAACCATCGCCAGGCCACATCCAGCTTGAGGGCTGACGGGATCGGGGCGTTAGTGTACTGGTCCCGGATACTTGTTGGGGAACGTAATGGGTGTACGTCGGGGGTTAGCTGGAGGCCTCTTGGGAGTCCTTCGGACGCTTCTTGTCTGCTCTCGTGTGCTGCACGGACAATGTTGTGTCCTCTTGGCTGCCTCCGGTGGCCCTCCGTGCTCCTCCTGCGGGCCGTGGAGAGTCTGGCACGGCCAGGGAGGTGTCGGGCCGCTCGCGAGGCCTCGGGCACGGGGGGTGCGGTGCTCGCAGCAAAGCTGCGCCAGGGCGGGGGGGGGCTGAGAAGATTTCCAGAAACCCTATACAACTCGGAGGTCTGCGCGGATTTCTCGGATCGGCGCTGGGGCCCCCAGGCGGCGATCCGAGAAATCCGCGCGGACCCCTGAGTTGTTATGTTTATGCCACTTGGTGTTCCCCTACCTATGAGACAGCACTGGGCATTCAGACACGGTCAGGTGTGCCAGTGGCACGATGGCAGGTCGGATTAGCCGGGCTCTGGTGGCTCGAAGTCTGATTCCGAGCCCGAAGCTTCACATGTTCCGCGCTTGGGACGTACCTGTCCGAACTCCTCCACTTGGACCTTCTCAGCGGGACCTCCTCCTCCTCCTCCTCCTCCTCCTCCTCCTCCTCCTCCTCCTCCTCCTCCTCCTCCTCATCATCATCATCCGTTCCTCCCTTGCAGCGGGACCCCACCATTTGCTTTGGATCTTCTCCAGCGTTGGCCTCCCGCCGTACGGTTCCTGCCGCAGCGCCCCACCCCGAACAGGTTCACCCCAGCCTCGGTTGCCCGTGGTGCGGGGGTACTGCCTTGTCGTAGGGCCCGTGTTCCCTCTTCGCTGTTTTTCGGTTTCGGGCCTTCGTGCGTTGTCCCTCCAGCCTTCAGCCCCCTTGTTGCCAGGCCGATGGGTATCTACGCAGGACGAACAATTTCCTCTCAAGCTGCAAATGACGATAATAAGCTAAAAGTGGATAACCGACCCCCTTTCCCCCGTATAATCTTAACACGGGCAAATTCTGGGGTCCGCGGATCCGATCTCCTCCGGCTCCTTATTTTCATGCAATCATATACATTTATAACGGGGTACAGATCGGATCCGCCGTAAAAACAGGACCGAACACGGATCCAGCAAATCCGAAATCGCATCCGCGCGGACGGAAATCGGATCCACCGAAACAAACACCAAAGCCACATCTGCAGCCGCGCGAATGTCATGGGACCCGACGGCGATTATCTCATACGCGTCTGCTCAAGACCTCCAGCCGTCGCTCCGGGCCCGAGAGGAAAAACACATCGTCCTGGGGACGTGTGGCTACAGATCTGCGCACCCCCGGCAGTCTCTTCGCGGTGCCGTGAAAAGGAGGGGAGGCGGAGGGGGGGCAGCGGGAGGCGGTTGAAGGGGCAGGGTCGGTCCTTCTCCCCGTCACCTTGGCTCTCTGCCCGGCCCTTCCCTTCCTGCCTGGGTCTGGAGGGATCGGGGGCGGAAAAGAGGGGGGTGATGACTAGGGGGGGGTGGATATCATGGCGTGGGCCATGATATTTCCCCAGATCTCATGGCGCCTCCTCTTATTTCATTACGTCCCTGGCCCCCCCGCTGGGCCGCGCACATGCCGCCGGTCATGATTTCCACCCCCCCCTCTTGGACACCCCCCTCTTGGCCGCTCCCGAAGGGAAGCGGGGGTTGGGGGCACAGTGCTTTTGTACAGGATCGGGTTTCAACCAGTCGTTTCTGACGGCCCCGGGGCCCAGGAAGAGCTCTATGGTGACAGAAAACGGAGACCCGAATCAGAAGCCTTTTGTTTCCTTGGGGGCTCCTTGGAGCCCTGGGGGTTCCTTGGAGCCCTCTTGGGGTTCCTTGGATCCCTGTGGCTGAGCCTTGGGGGTTCCTCGGAGCCCTCTTGGGGCGTGTTGGGGGCCCCGCGGCGCCGCCCCGGGGCCCTATTGGGCCGTTTGCAGGCACTCGTCGCCGTGTGGGGGATCTCTTTGGGTCGTCGTGGGGACGTCTTCGTCGTCGTCGTCGTCGTCGTCGTCGTCGTCGTCGTCGTCCTCGTCCTCGTCGTCGTCTGGGATCTCTTGGGGCACTTTTGGTCCGTTCCGGGGCTCTCTGGGGGCAGTCCTGGCCAGTCTGGGGAGGCTCTGATCGTGGTCAGCGAGAGGCACTGGAGGGCACTGGAGAGAGGCAGTGGTTCTGGCCTCGCGAGGGCCTCCCGAAGAGCGCCTCGGGGCCCGGGCTGACAGATCTAGGGTCTCCCGAGCCATCCAGAACCTTGGCTGTGACTTCCTGCAGGCTCTCTCGTTGAAAGCGAACGTATTCTTTGGCTCTCGGATCCAAAACGCCTTCCCCATTCAGTGGTCCACAGCGTCCTGCGTAAAACATGCCTCTTACCCTGGCGGGCCTCTACATCTTCTTTCGAACGGCATGTGAATCTTCCCATGTCCAGAAAGAGCGCTTTTCACGTTCGCTTGGGCAGGGAGGGGGGTAGGTTCCCCTGCCCCACTGAGCGCAAGGGGCCGGGGGGGGGTTATTCCCCCTTCTTCTCGAATGCCGTTGCCGCCGCCGCCGCCGCCGACGACGACGACGACGACGTCGACGACGACGTCGACGACGACGACACAGACGACGACGACGGCGACGACGACGGCGACGACGACGGCGACGACGACGACGACGACGACGAGGGGGAGCGTCTTGCTGGCCGCTGCGCCCGCCGACCTCCGAGGTACGCGCAGGCCTCCGGGATGGCGCCCTCCCTGGGCTCCAAGGTCGAGTGAGGACGGCCCCCCCCGCCGCGCCGAAGGGACCCTTCGGCCGTGCCGCCGGGCCGCGGGAGAGCAGCGTGACGACGGACGGATGTCCGATGCGATCGTTTCGGGGGCCCCCCCGGGGCCCGCCTGCCGGACCTGCTCGGCTCTCGCTCGTATCCCAGGCGTGCTGGCGTCGTAAAACGGCCGGGGCGGGAGGTTTTTGTCAGAGCGTGAATTACCTACCCCGCTTTCGTTTCCAGGCAAAACCAAGTCAGACCACGCGCCTCCTCGTCAAGCGGCCTGACCATTACAGGCTGCAGTTTGGCATCGTTTGGTATCTCTCGGAAGCGAGGGTGGTCAAAAGCGAGGTAGGTTTGTTTGCCCCCTACTTTGGCAACGTTCGGCCCCTGGGAGCCCTCGCCTGGCTTCGGGACCGTCAAGAAGTGATTCAGGATGGAGAAAGGGTCCCGGGGAAAGGGTCGGGGCTTCCAAGGACGACGTCCTGAAAAAATCAGGACGTCGCATGTCTGGGATTGAGTCCGACCTTCGGCCGACTCAAGCTCGACTCGCGCTCGACTCGAGTGACCTCCCAGACTCCCGACGCCGTGGTTTTTGTTTCAGAGCGTGGGCCCCGCGAGGGATCTGGGCCACCTCTCCGGCTTTGCATCCCGACTTGTCTCTTGATGGCCCCGAGGCCCGAGAAGGGCCCGTAGCCCGCAGAGAAAGGACAAACATAGGGGAACAGAAATGACATAAATAAGCATAGCAACTCGGAGGTCCGCGCGGATTTCTCAGATCGGCGCTGGACACCCCTCCCTGGCGCGCGGAGCGTGCCAGGGGCGGCGCCGGAGGCGCCGCCAGGGGGGCTCCAGCGCGGATCCGAGAAATCCGCGCGGACCTCCGAGTTTTTATGTTGATGTCGTTGTTTGCTCCAAAAAAAAATCATTCCGTGGTGCGGTGTTCATTCCGCAAGGGCCGGGCGGTCCTGGCTCGACCCTCGACCCAGCTGCAGCTCGTCCCGGGCTGGGGCGTTCGACGCAGCAGCAGCGCACGGCGTGGAGATCGATAGGGTGCCACATGCGAACCCTACCCCTACCCCCCACGATTTCTGAGGGGGAGGTTGATGTTCACTTCGTTCAGGAGCTCCCGAGCAAAGTGAACCCCACCCTCCCCCTCAAAAGTCGTGGGGGGTAGGGGTAGGGCTCGCATGTGGCCCCCTAGTCGAGTGGCTCCTGGAAGGTCCCCAGCGCGAGCACCCCGAGACCTTCCCCCCCCGCGCGGTGCCGTCGGAGGCGAGGGCCCAACGACCCCCGGCGGGGCGCCAAAAACTCGATCAGGAGTATTTCATTAGTGAATTGAATTGGTTTTAGGGTTTTAACGGATGGTCGCAGCCACGCAGAGGGCGTGCGTAGCGACGCCCCAAATGTTCGGTCTCCAGTACTTCTACGTGGCGGCGCCCCCGCAGGCACGCAGAGGGCACGCGTGGCGACGGGGGCGTCGCCACGCAGAGCTTCGAAAGACCAAATATTTTAAACAACTGGTTTCCACTATAAAGTATGGGATCGACTACAGAATTGATTCACCTCCAATGTGACTTTCTCGCCGAAATATTCAGAAGTCTCAGTGGAATGACGAGCATTCTACGTAACTATTCGTCGTAGATTCGTTGGGGAACATCGAGTTTCGGGATACATTCATTCTGTAGTCGACCTCCTGCTCGAAACACACGGCCCGTGACGGACCGAAGCTCTGCCGCTGGGCCAGGAGTTCCAGGGGCCATGCGCCGGGGAGGGCCGCGGCGTCGGAGGTTTTCAGGAAGAGGGCCCCCTCCCCACAAGCACGAGCTGAGTCTTGGAGTTTCCAGAGGGCGAGCGGCGCCAGAGCAAAGATTGCGCCAGAAGCCACATGCTCGGCGTCCCCGAGGCCGCGATCCCTCAGCACATAAAAAAAAAGTCGTGGGCCCGCGCCGCGCCTCAGACGCTCCCGGGCACGGGCCCGCCCGAGCCCGACCGCGGCGGGCGAACTGAGTGGGGGGGGGGCGCATGTGGACGGTGGCACTGGGGCCTTGGGTGGAGCTCCCTATGGGGCTCCGAAGCGCTGTACTGAGTGGGGGGGACGCATGTGGACGGTGGCACTGGGGCCGTCGGTGGAGCTCCCTATGGGGCCATGAAACGCTGTACTGAGTGGGGGGGACGCATGTGGACGGTGGCACTGGGGCCTTCGGTGGAGTTCCCTATGGGGCCACGAAGCGCTGCACTGGATGGGGGGGGACGCATGTGGACGGTGGCACTGGGGCCTTCGGTGGAGCTCCCTATGGGACCACGAAACGCTGTACTGGGTGGGGGGGACGCATGCGGACGGTTGGGAGGCGGGGGAACAGAAGGAGAGAAGGAGAGGAGGAACGCGGGGACCGTCTCTTCAAAACGAAGACCCATCAACACCGGTTGGTTGGGAAAAACAGAAATTATCCCGGTAAAGCAACCTAACAGCGATGTGTAGAAGCATATCTGGAAGCATTGCCCTTGAGATTCATGTAGGAGTCCTGGTGTAGAATTCTGGTGTCCTCGCAGTCGCTCGTCCTCCTGCTCGTCCTCGCATGTAGGAGTCCTCGTCCTCCTCCTCCTCCTGCTCGTCCTCCTTCTCCTGCTCCTCCTCCTCCTCCTCGTGATCGTCCTCGTCCTCCTCGTCTTGCTCGTCCTCCTCTTCCTCGTGCACTTGCCCCTGCTCCTCCTGCAGTTGGCTCCGGGCATTGAAAATGTAGCCCGGGAGTGGAGTTCTGGGAACTCGAAGAGCACGAAGTGGCCTACAGTTGGCTCCGGGCATTGAAAATGTGGCCCGGGAATGGAGTTCTGGGAACTCGAAGAGCACGAAGTGGCCTACAGCTGGCTCCGGGCCTTCAAAGTGTGGCCCGGGAATGGAGTTCTGGGAACTCGAAGAGCACGAAGTGGCCTACAGTTGGCTCCAGGCATTCAAAATGTGGCCCGGGAATGGAGTTCTGGGAACTCGAAGAGCACGAAGTGGCCTACAGTTGGCTCCGGGCATTCAGAATGTGGCCTGGGAGTGGAGTTCTGGGACCTCGAAGACCACGAAGTGTGTAACTGTTTGCTTAAAACTACTTCCGCGGATCCTCCCCGGATGCCGCCCAGACTCCCCTGGGGAGTCATGATGCTTTCTTTTGAGACGATTGGAAACCTATCAATCTTCGCTGTTGGGTAACATGCAGACACAGTCAGAGTCGCCGATTGCCCCCCGAAGGTATGGGAAGATATGGGGAATCCTGTTATTTGTGTCTAGTTGCCTGTGTGTCCCAGGGCCCCTTCATGTCGGGATGCAGTACGAAGTCGGGCATGTCCCTCTGCAGGAGGAGGTGTTCAGAAACAGGCCAAAGATGTTCTAGGGATGATCTTTCGACAATGTTTGATCATCTTGGAATCTTACTTTTTGTTAGACTACTTTTCATTTGTCGCCCACAATCCGCCTGTAGGAGGACTTGTCCGAACTAGATGTAGCACTCTGCAAGGCTACCCCTTGCAGCCTTGCTTATTTTACTCTCCTTGAGCCAATGCTGACGTCCAGAGACGTCCAGATGGGACGTCTCATGGCCCGGCACCCTCCAAGCTATGGATTCTGACTGCCGTTGGCCTCCTCCCGTGGCCTCCCCCCCTTCCACCTGGGCCCCTGCGGCGGCGGCGACGACGACGACGACGACGAGGAGGAGGACGAGGAGGACGAGGACGACGACGAGGAGAACGAGGACGACGACGACGAGGAGCACGACGACGAGGAGAGCGAGGACGACGACGACGTCGACGACGACGCACGTCGGCGGGGGGCGGCGGGCTGCCCCCGGCGGCGTCCTGGGCGCCCTCCGCTCCTCCGCGCGCGGCCCCGCAGGCGCACCAGGGCGGGACCCGGCCGCGAGTTTTGGGGGAGCACCTTCTGAGAGGGCGCGACCCGCCGAGCGGCAGGGAGACCGCACCGCTCCGGGGGCAGGTCGTGGGAGCCTTTTTTGGGGGGTGGGCAGGCCTCCTGCCCTCTAGGCCTCCTAGATGGGGTCGGACTAGATGGGGTCGGAGGATCGCTCCGCATCGCCAATGCATCGCCGATGCGGCTCGATGTGCAGCCCGTTTTGCTTCACGTCAGCGTCGCCGATGCATTGCCGAAGTCTACGATGCATCGCCGATGCATCGCCGATGCATCGCCGATGTATCGCCGATGTATTGCCGATGTATCGGCGATGCGGCGCGATCTTCCGACCCCATCTACTCCGACCCCACCTAGGAGGCCTCTATACCCTGACACGTCGACTAGTGAATTGTCCGTTTTCGGTTCGAAAGAGGGCGTCGCGGCCGTCATTGTTGCGGGTCCAGGTCCGTCGGGTTCGGTCCCAGGCCGTTTTCATTGAGGGGAGGTTTACTAAAGGGAGGACCGTCCACCGCCGAGCCTTGCGTGCCCGCGCAATTCAGTCTCTAGCGTCCACCAGCGTCGATTGGGCGTCTGGGCGTCGATGAGACAGCCCCGATCTAGCGTCGGTCTTGCGTCGATTCGCGGCGTTTGAGCACGCATCGATCAGCGTCGATTCAGCGTCGACTAGCGTCGATTCGCAAAAGCCGGCAGGATGGTATGGGAGGCTCCCGCGAGCTGCCACCGCAGGGAGACCGCACCACTGCCGCCCGGTGCTGCGCCCGCCGCGCATCGGGGTGCCGGGGCGTCCCGGGGCCAGGAGGCAGGCGACCACGAAGGGCACACGGTCATTCAGAGGAGGTAGAGGTAGCACTGATGGGCCGATGTTCCACCACCACTACCCTAGGTAGGAGAGGGAGAAGGGGAGGAGGAGGAGGAGGAGGAGGAGGAGGAGGAGGAGGAGCAGGAGGAGGAGGAGGAAGAAAAAGAAGAAGAATAATACGAAGAATAATAAGATGAATAAGAAGAAGACGGAGAAGAATAATAATAAGAATAATAAGAAGAGGAATAACAATAATAATAAGAATAATACGAATAATAAGAAGAATACTAATACTAATAAG